CAGAAAATGAAAGCAAAAAAACCACGAGAGGACAGGCAGTATCAAACCACAGGAGAAGAAAAGACAAGGAATCAGAGTAACACTGATTCAGCTGCACACAATCAAACCCTTAAACAACAAAAACAACTAAATGGCAGGAATCACCTCATACCTATCAATATAAACACTGAATGTCAATGGACTCAACTCCCCCATCAAAAGACTCTGTTTGGCAAACTGGATTAAAAAAGAAGATCCAACAATCTGTTATTTACAGGAGACCCACCTCATTGACTGAAACAAACACTGGCTTAGGGTGAAAGGCTGGAAGAAGATATATGAAGCCAATGCCCCCCCAAAACAGGCAGGAGTAGCAATACTTATCTCAGACAAAGTAGACTTCAAACATACATTGATCAAATGAGATAAAGAAGAACACTCCATACTAATAAAAGGGGAAATACACCAAAGGAAATAACAATTATCAACCTATATGCATCCAATCTTAGTGCACCCAATTTCATCAAACATACTTTAAAGGACTTAAAAACACATATAGACTTCAATATAGTGGTAGGGGGAGACTTTAATAACCCCCCTATCACCATCAGATAGGTCATCCAAACAAAAAATCAATAAAGAAATTCTAGAACTAAATTACACCACAGATCAAATGGACCTAGCTGATATCTATAGAATATTTCATCCAACATCCTCAAAATATACATTCTTCTCAGCAGCCCATGGAACTTTCTCCAAAATTGATCATATATTAAGGCACAAAACAAGCCTCAGCAAATACAAGAAAACAGAAATAATCCCCTGCATCCTATCTGATCACAATGAATTAAAACTAGAACTCAACAACAAAAACAACAGTAGAAAATACCCAAACAACTGGAAGCTGAACAACACATTGCTCAATGATTAGTAGGTTATCAATGAAATAAAAGAGGAATTAAAAGGTTCCTGGAAGTTAATGAAAATGAAAACACAACCTATCAGAACCTATGGGACACAGCAAATGCAGTCCTAAGAGGAAAGTTTATAGCCATGAGTGCATATATTAAAAGGACAGAAAGATCTCTAATAAACAACCTAGTGCTAAATCTCAAACTCCTAGAAAAACAAGAACAAGCAAAACCCAAAACAAGCAGAAGAGAAATAATAAAAATAAGGGCTGAAATTAATGAAATAGAAACCAAAAAAAACCATAGAAAGAATCAATGAAAAAAAAACCTGGTTCTTTGAAAAAATAAACAAGAGTGACAGACCCCTGGCAAATCTGACTAAAATGAGGAGGGAAAAACCCAAGCCAGTAAAACCAGAAATGCAAAAAGAGAGATAACAACAAACACCACAGAAATCCAGGGAATCATCAAAAACTACTTTGAGAACCTATATTCAAATAAATTTGAAAATCTTGAAGAAATGGACAAATTTCTAGATACTTATGACCATCTAAAATTGAACCAAGAGGATATTAACCACCTAAATAGATCTTTAACATGAAATGAAATTGAATCAGCAATAAAGAGTCTCCCAAAAAAGAAAAGTCCAGGACCTGATAGATTCTCTGCTGAATTCTATCAGACCTTTAAAGAACTAATACCAATTCTCCTTAAATTTTTCCATGAAATAGAAAGGGAAGGAAACTGCCTAACTCATTCTATGAAGCCAGTGTTACACTCATCCCCAAAACAGACAAAGACACATCCAAAAAGGAGAACTATAGGCCAATCTCCTTAATGAACATCAATGCAAAAAATCCTCAATAAAATAATGGCAAACTGAATCCAACAACATATTAGAAAGATCATTCACCATGACCAAGTTGGCTTCATCCCAGGGATGCAGGGGTGGTTCAACATACTCAAATCTATAAATGTAACACAGCACATTAATAGAAGCAAAGACAAAAACCACTTGATCATCTCAACTGAAGAAGAAAAAGCCTTTGATAAGATTCATGATAAAAGCTCTAAGAGAACTAGAAATAGAAGGAATGTACCTTAACATTACAAAGGTTATATATGACAAACCTATAGCCGGCATCATACTTAAGGGAGAAAAACTGAAACCATTTTCCCTAAAATCAGGAACAAGACAAGGGTGCCCGTTATACCCACTCCTATTCAACATAGTACTGGAATTCCTAGCCAGAGCAATTAGGCAAGAAGAAGGAATAAAAGGAATACAAATAGGTAAAGAAACTGTCAAAATATCCCTATTTGCAGATGATATGATCCTATACTTCAAACACTCAGAACACTCTACTCAAAAACTCCTATTCACCATAAACAGCTTCAGCAATGTGACAGGATACAAAATCAACTTACAAAAATCATTTGCTTTTCTATACACTAAAAATGAACAAACTGAGAAAGAATATATGAAAACAATTCTATTTACAATTGCCTCAAACAAAAAATCAAATACCTAGGAGTAAACCTAACAAAGGATGTGAATGACCTCTACAAGGAGAACTACAAACCCCTGAAGAAAGAGAAGGTAGAAACATCTCCCATGCTCATGGATTGGTAGACTCAACATAGTAAAAATGGCTATACTACCAAAAGCAATCTACATGTTTAATGCAATTCCCATCAAAATCCCAATGATATTCATCACAGAGATTGAAAAAACTACCCTAAAGTTCATTTGGAAACACAAGAGACCGTGAATAGCCAAGACAATACTCAGCAAAAGCAGCAATGCTGGAGGTATCACAATACCCAACTTCAAACTATATTGCAAAGCAACGGCATTAAAAACAGCATGGTACTGGCACAAAAACAGATATGAAGACCAGTGGAATAGAATAGAGGACCTAGATATGAATCCACACAGCTATGCCTACCTTATTTTTGACAAAGGTGCTGAAAAACATACGATGGAGAAAAGACAGCCTCTTCAACAAATATTGCTGGGAAAAGTGGTTATCTGCCTGCAGAAAACTGAAACTAGATCCATGTTTGTCACCCTGTACTAGTATCAACTCAAAATGAATCAAGGACCTTAATATCAGACCCGAAACTCTGAAGCTAGTACAGAAAAGAGCAGAGAATACTCTGGAAGCAATAGGTGTAAGCAAGGACTTCCTCAATAGAATCCCAGCAGCCCAGCAACTGAAAGAAAGGCTGGACAAATTGGACTTCATAAAACTAAAAACTTCTGCACAACAAAAGAAGTGGTTTCTAAACCGAAAAAACCACCTACAGAGTGGGAGAAAATATTTGCCAGCTATACATCAGACAAAGGACTGATAACCAGAATATACAGAGAGCTCAAAAAACTAAAACTCCCCCAAAATCAATGAACCAATAAAGAAATGGGCAACTGAACTAAACAGAACTTTTTTAAAAGAAGAAATACAAGTGGCCAAAAAACAAATGAAAAAATGCTCACCATCTCCAGCCATAATGGAAATGCAAATCAAAACCACACTAAGATTCCACCTCACCCCTGTTAGGATAGCCATCATTAGCAACACCACTAACAACAGGTGTTAGCGAGGATGTGGGGAAAAAGGAACCCTCATACACTGCTGGTGGGAATGCAAGCTAGTACAACTTCTGTGGAAAACAATATGGAGGCTTCTTAAAAAACTAAACATAGACCTGCCATATGATCCAGCAATCCCACTCCTGGGGATATACCCAAAGGAATGCGACTCAGGTTATTCCAAAGGCACTTGCATATCCATGTTTACTGCAGCACTATTCACAATAGCCAAGTCATGGAAACAGCCAAGATGTCCCACTACTGACGAATAGATTAAGAAAATGTGGTATTTATATACAATGGAATTTTATTAATCCATGAAGAAGAAAGAAATCTTATCATTCGTAAGTAAATGGATGGAACTGGAGAACATCATCTTAAGAGAAGTTAGCCAGGCAGGAAGGTCAAAAATCGTATGTTCTCCCTCATATGCAGACATTAGACCTAAAAGAAATGCAGTAATATTATTGGACATGGGTCACACGCTAAGGGGAGAACACATACAGGAGGAATAAGTAGGGAAAGGTAGGAAACCCAAAACTTGAAAGTGTTTGATGTCCCCGCTGCAAAGGAGCTAATACAGTAACCTTAAAATGACAGAGGTCACTATGGAAGATGACTGGGAAGTAGTGAAGAGGTCAGGTAGCGATGAACCAATTTGGGTTGTAATACACTTGTGCATGGAAGCAACGCTAGGAATCTCTCCGTATAGCTATCCTTATCTCAACTAGCAAAAACGCTTTGTCTTTCTTATTATTGCTTATGTATACTCTTCAACAAAATTGGCGAAGAGGACGGAAGAGGTTCTGCCTGGAAGTGAGGCGGGTGGGGGTAGGGGCAGGGGGAAAGATGGCCCAAATAATGTATGCACATATGAATAAATGAATAAATAAACCAAAATAGTAAAAAAAACTACTTTTTTGCTATTTTTATTTTGTAGTCCTCTGCATATATTACCTGAAAAGAAAGAAAAGAAAAAGGAGAGGACAAAAGAGGAAGAAATGCTGTAACAAATAAGCAACAAAGCAATTCACCATTTTTTAAAAATAAAGAGAAAGCTGAAGCTTTATCAATTTGGGTTCCGTACAATATTTAGAGTTAAGCTTCTCCCACCAGAATTGTCTCAGTTTTTCATGCTCAGTCCCCTTACATGTTCATTTATCATTTTGTCCCTTGTCACCCCCTCTTTTTCCATTCCCAGCCATTAGTTTCCTGATTAGTCTGCACTTTCTGCTCCATTTACAGGCAAATGAATGCTTCTGTTAAACACACTCATCTCAGCTTTGCAGTAGGCCCAATTTTCTTTGCCTAACTGGTCAGCGGGCCATCTGGAACTGGAGAGAATATGACATTAGAAATTGTGAGGTAGAATCAGGTCACCCAGCAAATGACTGGAAGTGGAAGATAACCCTAGGGTAAGTGTCCTGGGCAAGCCCTTTAGAGGAGGACTGGCAAGGCACCATTTTTAGAAAGCAATTCTGCAGAAAGCAAAACTGTCAAATTTGGGCATTGCTTACCACCCTGCCTTGATCTGGGTCATAGAAACGCTCCAACAACTGAATACTGGTGCTTTTGCCACATCCACTGCTTCCAACAAATGCTAGTGTCTGCCCTGGTTTAACAGACACCGAGAGACCGTTCAGGACTTGCACGGTAGGCCGAGAAGGGTATGTAAACTTGCAGTCAACAAAGTCAATCTTCCCCTGGAAATTGTTCTGTGGATGGAAAGCTTGGAATTACATATGCTCATACTGGAGCTCAGAATATTGAAAATCTTCCTCTCTCTCTTGCCTTCTCTCTCTCTCTGTACTGGGGCTTGAACTCAGGACCTCATGCTTGCTAGGCAGGTGCTCTAACACTTGAGTTATAACGTCAGCTCTTTGCCTTAGCTATTTTTTGGATAGTCTCACATTTTTGCCCAGGGCCTGCCTTGGACTGTGATTCTCCTACACTCATGTCTCCTCCTGCATAGCTTGGATTAAAAAATGTGGACCACCACACCCAGGTTAGTGTTTGAGATGGTCTTCCTAAATTTGTTCCCCTGACTGGCCTCAAACTGTGATCTTTCCAATTTGTCTCCTGAGTAACTGGGATTACAGGTATGAGCCACCACTCCTGTGGCTCCTTCCTTCCTTCCTTCCTTCCTTCCTTCCTTCCTTCCTTCCTTCCTTCCTTCCTTCCTTCCTTCCTTCCTTCCTTCCTTCCTCCCTCCCTTCTCTTCCTTCCTGCCTCCCTTCCTTCCTCCCTCCCTTCCCTCCCTTCTCTTCCTTCCTGCCTCCCTTCCTTTCTTCCTTCCTTCCCTCCTTCTTCCCTCCCTCCCTCCCTCCCTTTTTTCCTTCCAGAGGGTCTCACTATGCTAGATGGGCCTGGCACTTGCTATGCAGACCAGGCTGGTCTTCAACTCAAGAGCCTCCTGCCTCAGCCTTCTGAATATTGGTATTACCGGCAGGCACCACCATGCCCAGCCAGTCTTTTCTTTATACATTAAGCAGCCTCAGGTTTTTGTTATAATAATGGAAATGGACTGAGACAATTGCATATTCAAATGCCAACTGAATGACTTCCTTCCATTACATTTATAAGCCTATTATCTGTCCCTTCTGAGTGCATGTGAATGAACCCATGAGGCAGACGTTTAGAAGTGGTCTTGCCTGGCCAGCTCCCATGACTATTCTGCATACACATAAGCACAACTCCCCTGGTCCACTACTCACCCATTTTTCACCCATACCACTGTATACACTAATTGGGGGTCTTCGCTCCAGCAGTTGAAAAAAGCGTGCAGCTGATATCTTAGCTTTGGCATAACTTGGTGTATAAGAGATGGCTCTTCCAACTGCAGTAGCACTCAATACAACTGACGAGATCACCCTGGAACCAGAAAGACACACGTGTAGAAAAGAATAGGGTAAGGCTGGTGTGATGGCCTAAGAGGAAGGAGTGTGTGAGGGTGGGAATGGGAGACAGAGGATATGTCTTTGTGTGCCTAACTGCTCAGTTTATAAACAGGAATTGTTTTTAGGCTAGAGCTGTAAATCCAAACATCTCAAGGAGCCCAGGGACAAGCTTAAGGGGGTAAAAGCATTTGGAATAAAATGAAAAATGGTGGGAAATGATGTCCCAGTTTTTATAGCAAAGCCAGAAATTGGGAGTTTTCTGTAGTCTTTCAATTTTTGCATGTTGCCAAATAATTCTTTAAATACCTTATATAAACTAACAGAAATAAGTCAGCAGTTGGTGTTCTCTGGTTTGGGTTAGTAGCTTTAAAAATGCAGTGATTCAGGAAAGAAATTTTCCTGGTTGAGTGGCTGTATTTAGGCAGTAGAAAAGTACTAGAAGAAAGACATCAGATGAGAAAGCAGAACTCAAGGCTACTGAATGAACCCAAGAGAACAAATTCTTATTGGGATCATGTTTCCTAATGGTGCAGAGCTTTCTCAACTGTCTCTTTCCTCACCAGTACCCTGGCACCCTTAAGTTCTCACCTCTGGATGTGTGAGAAAAGCAGACTCTGGCTTTAAGAAAGGAATGTAATGTCACTGTATGGCCTATGCTGTCCCTACCTAGGGGAGTCAGCTGGAAGCCTGTCTCTTGCTAGACAGGAATAGTGTTCAAACATGGCGGCCCTATGAACCACTTCATGCAAGGCCTCAGGGACTTCTCAACATTAGCACAGGTAGGTAATTGCTTGTACAAATGGCCATATCAATTCATCCTGTCGTCCATAGCTTTGCATATAACTTTTGTTTGCCCTTCTCATCAAAAGGGAATTCCATTTCTCTATAGTTTTAATTGGGGGTTCCTTTTATGACTTGCTTTGGCCAAAGAGACATCAGAAAATGTGATATTCAGAAAGACTTGAAAAGCACTGTCACACCAGAGCTTGCCCTCTTTTATTGCAGTTGGGACTCTGAGACCATTTGTAAAGGAAACAAGCTCACAAACTAGAGAGGTCATGTGGGGACAGAAGTATACTCAGAAGCCTGACTGAGGCAACCTAGGCCAGAGGACCACGTGCCAACCCACAGAACCTTGAGGAATAAAAAATCCCACTGAGTTTGGATGGTTTATTAGGCAGCAAAAATGCTAAAATGGTAAATGATTGAACCAGGCAATTCTTCCCTAGAGCATTGATCTTTTATGAGCTTGGTGGTATATCCTCACCTGAACACATGGCTGAAGTGGAGCCCCTCATAGAGAATTAAGTAACCTCCATATCTGTAGGAAGCAGCATTGGCAATAAACACTATGCTTTGGGAAAAGCCAAAGCAGAATCCATAGACATTTGCTTTTCGAATGGCTATCTTGAATAACTTCTCCAGCTCAGTCTCAAATACTTCAACAAACTGCTCCTGCAATCCAATTCCAGCAATAGTGCGGATATTACTGAAGGCCTCATTAGTGACCTGAAAAACAAGAGTTTTAGAAATAGGAGAACAGCAATAACTCCTTTCACGTTTCGACTGCTACATGGGTTAGAGGTGGAACAAATGGCAAAATGTGGAATGAATTGGACATGAGGTCATAATCTTGGAGCACCTTCTCTCCAACTGAACCATGAACCAATTTTCCAGTTAAATCTGGACTCTACTTAGTTCTCACATGTCTTTGTTGCTCCCACTCATGAGGGAAAGAAGGGGAAAAAGTTTCCCATGGTTATCTTTGAAAGCTCTTTAGTTTCTTTGTCAATTCACTTGAAATGTCTAAAATGGTATCTTTGAATGTCTTCAGAGGCAAAAAAATCACTTAATAATATATATTTAAAACATTAGATTCTACATTTCTAACAATAATGTGACCAAATATTACCTAACTTAAAATTAAATACATAGCCAGGTGACAGTGGCTCATGCCTATAATCCTCGCTACTTGGGAGGCTGAGATTGGGAGCACTGTGGTTCTAGGCCATCCCAGGCAAATAGTTCTCAAGACCCCATCTCCAAAATAACCAGAGCAAAATGGACTGGAGGTATGGCTCAAGAGGCAGAGCACCTGCAAACACAAAGCCCTGAGTTCAAACCCCAATCCCATCCTTGCAAAAAAATTAAATATAAAGTTAATCTTCTATTATACACTACAAATGTGTGCTCCAATCCACACTCCAAGTAATTAATCACCGTTAGTCTGTTAACGTCCTGCTCTTAACAAAGGAACAAAGGTGGACTACTTTCTACCACTGACACAGAAAATGCTTTCATTTCTGCCTCTCTGGACAGTGATGTTCTACCTCTTAAAATAGAAAAAAAATCTAGAATATGGTGAATGTTTTGAGAGAGAGAGAGAGATTTCTTTTACATGATAAGTATCTATGCCAGCATCCCGATGAGCAGACAGCAGTTAGAATAGACTTTTAAGAAAGCATAGCTAAAACTTAAGTGTATTTGAAATCTAAACTGCAGCCTATGACTCTATTTGGGAAAGACACTCTCCACAAAGTCTAGAGACATTAAAGTGTGAAAATGAAAAGTGTATGCCATTAAAAACATACTACCTCCCCTCTTTGTGGACAGCAGACCTTAGGGAAACCATGAAGCTGAAAAAAACCTAATAGAAAACAAAACTATCCACTCTTGAATGTGAGAATTTACCAAACTGGGGTGTGGAATCAGTAACTATGTGAGCAGAAATCAAACAGAAGCACCTAGGTTAACCCCATTATTTCCCCTTTCTGCTCAAATTTGTGCACCAAGCCTTATGGCCACTGCCTTTGGGCATAGGCACACATGCAAAGGGGTAGTGGGAGGTTTCTACCTGCACGTGCTTGGGCTGACCACTTCCTTCAGTCTCTCATACTCCCCATTTTAACAGTTTGCCTAATCCCCACTCAGCCATAAGCAGAAAATGAGGTCTGTAAGATTACCTGCCCTGCCTTCTCCAGAACCTGCTTGTCTTGAGATGCAAAATCTGTCAACAATCTGGTCTGTAGGGCTCCTGATAGAGCCAAGAAAGGGAAGAAGCACATGATGACCAGGGTGAGCTTCCAACTAAAAAAGAAGGCGACGATTAAGGCCACAGCGATGTTACTGAAGGAATTGACCATCATCCCAATCTGAGAGCCAGCAGCCTGCAAACAGAGAGAACCAACTCACTTCAGACACACGGCCTTCTTTACCATATGCCGTTATGTGAGATTGCTATTTTATACCACAAAGATAAGTTCTTCTTCATTGTGATAAAAAACACATAACACAATATTTATTTTAACCATTTGCAAGTGTACAATTCAGGGACATTAAAAATATGTGTAATTTTGTGTGACCATTACATTTATACCCAAAGTTTTCTCATCATCTCCAACAAAAACTCCATCCATCTAATAATAACCTCCTCTTCCTTCCTCCTACAAGCCACTGGTAATTTCCATTCTGTTCTGTCTCTATGAAGTTGCCTATTGTAGGTACTTCATCTGAGTAAAAGCACATACTATTTGTCCTGTGACTGGGTCATTTTAGTAAGCATAACATCTTCCAGGTTTATCTATATTGCAGTACTTACCAACCTTTCACTCCTTTTGAAGACTGAATATATTCTATTCTGCTCATCTACTTATCTATGGTTGGGTACTTGGGTTGTATTGTTATCTTGTGGCTATTGTAAATAGTTCTGCTACAAACATTGCTGTGTTAATATCTGCTCTAGCCTCTGTTTTAAATTCTTTTGGATATAGGTCTAAGAGTGAAATTACTAGATCATATATGGTCTAAGTTGTTCAGAAGTGACCAAAGGTGGTATACTCTTTCTTTCTCCTCCTCCTCCTCCTGCTTCTGTTTCTTATGCTTCTTCTTCATTATTTTTACTTTGGCAGTGCCCAAAAGTGGCCTTGCTGGGCAAGTGCTCTACCATTTGAGCCATGCCTCCAGTTCTCTTTGCTTTGGTTATTTTATTTTTCAAATAGGTTGGGGCATTACTATTTTTGCCTGGATCAGCCTTGAATCATGATCCTCCTACCTAAGCCTCTCACCTACCTGGGATTACAGACCCTCATTACCACACTCAGCTCAACAAATAAGACAGGCTCTTTTAAATGATGAAATTCCCTAACATATTTAAAGGCCTGATTGATAAAGGTATACTTAACTCACAGCTTTTTTTTTTTTTTTGACTAAGCTCATTTTAAGTAATCTCATTTTATGGGTGTCAGAACTAGAGCAGCCTAAATGAGATTAACATAGCCCTGGCACGGCTACATATGTCTCAGGCACCTATGCTTGTGTGAAAATGTCTAATCATAGACTTGTGATAATATTACTTATTATTTAGTGCAGATTAGTGCTTACTGTATCACTATGGTCCTGAAGTTGACAAAGACTGTAATAAGGTACTATGATTCTCATTGAAGTTAGTTCATTCACTGGTACAAAATAACATGCTGTCCTCATACACAGCTGTTTAGTGAAGGCAGGTGGATAAAGATGGATTTGGCCCCAATATCTTCAGGGCCACTGTGGTGATTATTATCTACACTAATGAGAACTAATGAGAAGTAGTCTATGGTTCTAAGTCTTCATTTTAGTTGCAGTTGTACAGCTGTGACCAAAAAGGTTGTGTATTCTGGGAAAACATCTGGGTGAGTATAATGATATGACTCTTCTTAAACTTGTATAGACTTCAGCAGCAATTAAGGCAAAAAATGTAAAACAGCCAAAGTAAAGCATTAGTAACTATCAGGTATGCAGGTGCTGTTCAAGGAAAATCTGCATGTTCATACTGTACTGAAGACACAAGTGGAATAAGAGCTTGTGCTCCAAAGAATTCCTGTGTGTTGGTATTAGCTCCCTTGGAGACAGGCATAAAACATAGGTTAAGAATTTCTTCTGGGGCTGGCAGAGTGGCTTAGGTAGTAGAGTACCTGCCTAGCAAGTATGAGGCCCTGAGTTCAAGTCCCAGTACTGCAAAAAAAATTTCTTCTTTGATGGAAAGACTGAATCTAATTAAGATATATTGTAAGCACATATGTAAATGTCACAATGAACTCCCTACAACTAATAATATTAATAAACAAAAGGTTTTTTTTAAAGCTAAATACAATGTCTTAGAAGGTAGCAATAAAATTTTATTTCATGTTTAGGGAAATGTAATAAAATCTGTTCCTGCTCATATTTTGCTCACAATCTACCTTGAATGAATCTTCAGACATTTTAATAAGGTTAATACTGGATTTTGTGGGGCATTCCAATTACATAATACTGCTTTTTTATATTCTTGGCTTCTGTGAGCAATGTTGAAACATATTTAAAATGATGACCCTTTCCTGCCTCGTCCAAATTATCACAGAAATAATAATATTATAATTTCTAGCCAAATTATCACAGAAATGCTCATTATTTCCTCAGTACTGCCAATGATAAAGCAATGTAGAATTCACCATTTTTTTCCAGTTTCTTTGTTCCCAGTATGTGTCTCCTATAAATGGAACTTTAAAAATTCCTACTTACAATCTTTATTTTCTAGCAACTTCATTTAAAATATACTGATACGAATATATTTAAAATTAAAACAATTTTTAAAAAATAAAAGAATTTTTTCTTTGTGTGTTCATTTCTGTAACAGTAATAGTCACAATAGCCAAGTGTAAACAATTGGAATATCTACAATAAGTGGCAAAACAAAGTGATATATATATGTGTGTTAGCATGCTATTACTATAATAAGTTCCTGAGATAATCAACTTGAAAAGATTTATTTTGGCTCATTGTTTTGGAGGTTTCAATCCATGGTCAGTTGTCCTGTCACTTTTGAGCCTGTGGCTAGACAGCATATCATGGCAGGAGCACATGGTGGAGTCTACTCATCTCATGGTGGCCAGGAAGCAAAGAGAATAGAAAGAGCTGAGGTCCAAATATCCCATTCAAGGGCACACTTCTGTGACCTAACATCTTCTAATTAGGCTCCACCTCTTAAAGGGTCCACTATTTCCCAATAGCACCCTAGACTGGGGACCAAGCCTTCAAAACATGGGTCTTTAGGGAGACATTGAGGATCCAAACTATAGTAACATACAAAGAATATTATTCAACCATAAAAAAGTATGTAGTTCTGATGCTTATAATAACATGGAACCTTGAAAAATGAAACAAGCCAGATTAAAAAAAAAAGAATTTTAAACATTAAATGATTCCATGAGTCTATTTATGTGAGGTACATAGAGAAGTCAATTTCATAGAAACAGAAAGTAGGATGTGGTTACAAAAGGCTCAGGATGGTGGGGGCTCAGATGGGAAGTTATTGTTAATGGGGATACAGTTCTGGCTTGGGATGATAGATAAGCTCTGGAGATGGATAGTGGTCATGGTTGAAAAACACTATAAATGTACTCAGTGACACACAGAACACTTCAAATGATTAAAATGGTGAAATTTGCTACATATATTTTACCACAATTTAAAAATTTTTTGGTTGACAAGGACTATCAGACATTACAGAGTACTTAAAAAGCAACTATGTAGTTTGTCTTTGGGGTATCATTATTTTGTTTCCTAAACATTTTATTCAACTGATATATATATATATATATTTTTTTTTTAACAAGTTAGTGTCTTTAAAATTATTTATTTATTTTTGAGACAGGGTCTCACTATGTAGCCCAGGCTGGTCTCAAACTCATGATCCTCCTGCCTCAGACTCCTGAGTGCTGGGATGAAGGTTTGAGTCCAGCAGGGGCAAAGTTAGCACAGGACCTTATCTGAAAAACAAGAGGCATGGCTCAAGTCCTAGAGTGTTTGCCTAGCATTCATAAGGTCCTAAATTGTTCAACCCCAGTACCATATAAACAAACAAACAACAAAATAAGATGGAACAATATGCTGCCTACAAGAAACTCACCTCACAAGAGGGATACTCAGAAACCAAACGTCAAAGTATAGAAAATGATATTCCAATAAATAAAAAAATAAAATCCAAAATCAAGCAAGAGAAGTTATACTTACATATGATAAAAGATAAGACAAAAAACAGGAAGACAAGACTAAGAAATTACTGTATAATGATTAAGGTACCAATTCATCAAGAAGATGTAATGATTATAAATCTATATACACCCAATTTAATAAAACAAACACTATTAGACCTAACAGGAGGAATGGAAGTGATAGGATCCAATATGATACTCTATTATCAGCAATGGACAGATCATCTAGACAAAAAATCATGAAGAAACATCAGAGGTAACTATACCATAGATCAAATGGGCTTAAAAGACATTTTCAGAACATTCTATTCAATAGCTGCAGAACATAGATTCTTTTCATCAACACATGGAGACTTCTCTAGAATACACCATATATTAGGCCACAAAACAAGTGTTAACATATTCAAAAAATTGAAATCATGTCCTAAATCTTTTTGGAAACTAGGAATCAACAGCAAGAGAAACTTTAGAAAGGAGAGTGTACAATAGTACACTTTTGAAAAGTGGTCATTGAGGAAGTTGAAAGTGGGATTAAAAATTCCTTGACAAATAAAAATGGAAACACCCTGTGTTTTTACCTGCTGGGGACACTATTGAGTCTTGTGGAGTCTTAGCTTTGAGCCTGAGAGGAGACTCAGAAGTCCTTCTCAGTTGTTAGACTCAGAGGAAATCCCAAACCATGACAGTTGGGATGCATGCCATATGCTTCCCAGGGGACACTGTGCTTTAGTTGCTGTTGACAGCATTAGAAATGGTAGGAAATGTGGTTCTGGGGTATCCCAAGCCCACTAACTCCTATTCTAGAGGAAACCCTGAGGTAATTGTCAGAATGCTCCATGAGAAGAACATCTACACCAGGAATACACTCCTGTTTCCCCTACTACTATGGTCTGAATGTGTCACTCTAAAATTCATGATGAATCCTAATCCCAACTGTGATGATGTCAAGTGATGTAACTGCCTAATTTTCTCTTTGGGAGGTAATTAGGTTATGAAGACTCTTCTTTCATGAATAGGATTAACACCACTATAAAAGAAGCTGAAGGGTGCATTTTAGTCCCTTCCACCTTTCTGCCATGTGAGGATGGAACATGGGGCCATCTTTGAATCAGAGACAACAATCCCTCACCAAACACTGAATCTGTTAGTGCTTTGATCTTGGACTTCCCAACCCATATATCTACGAGAAAGGAATTTCTATTATAAATTAGCCAGTCTAAGGTACTTTGTTACAGCAGTCCAAAGGGACTAAGACACCCCCATAACTTACCCCTTGAACTTGGGAGGCATCTGTAGCAAGCCTTGTTGTCAGTGTTCCAGGGTTATTTCTGAGGTCATCAAACCAACCTATGTCTTGCCCTAACATTGCCTTGAAACCAAATTTTCGCAGCCTTTTTGTGAGGAGCTCCCCAGATTTAGCAAAAGTGTAACCCTGAAACATAAAAAGGACTTTATAGTGATGCTTTAACATGAAAAGAGGGGAAGCAGCCAAATTACTTAATAAAATAAAATTCCTTACCTGTAAAAATTGGGTGACAATGGACACACAGCCCATGACTACAAAAAGGAGGCATATATCATAAATCTGTGACCTTTGCTCTTCTACATCAGGAATTGAAAAAGTCTGCAGAAGAGCAAGAAAAAAATCTTTGTTATTATAAACAGTCACAAAATAAATTCAAATACATTTAAATGGCATTTCTCTTAACACATCATTATGCATTTGTCTAGTCCCATAGAACGCACACCTAGAGTGACCCTTGATGACCCTATGGACTTTGAGTGATCATGACATGTCAATGCAGGTGCATTAATTATAATGAATGTGCCACTGGAGGATGGCAGGGCAAATACAGGAAATCTCTGTTCCTTCTTAATTTTTCTGCAGACCTAAAACTGTGTTAAAAAACCAATGTCTTAAAAATTATTTCACTTCATGCATACAAGTAACTAAACCAAAGCAGGCTGTGAACATTAGGGTGATAATTTTAGTCCCCTGTGAGGCAAGATGCCTGGCAAGGGAAAACCAATGGTAAAAATTACAGAATTTTTGTGCTCTTTCTTTGCCTGACTTAAACAACTGTGTTGTGTTTTCTCAGACATAGATGAAAAAAAATGATAAAGAGTACAAATCCTTTAAGTAATAGGCAGAAAAAGAGGAAGAGAGGGAAGAAGGGAGAGAGGAAGAAAGGGAGGAAGGGATATGGAAGGAGGGAAGGAGAAGGGAAGGAAAGGGGAGGGGAGGGAAGGACAGGGGAGGGGAGGGAAGGAAAGTGGATGGGAGGGAAGGAAAGGGAGGGGAGGGAAGGAAAGGGGAGGGAGGGAAGACAAGGGAGGGGAGGGGAGGGAAGAAAGGGGAGGGGAGGAAGGACAGGGGAGGGGAGGGAAGGACAGGGGAGGGGAGGAAGGAAGGGGAGGGAGGGAAGGACAGGGGAGGGAGGGAAGGACAGGGGAGGGGAGGGAAGGAAAGGGGAGGGGAGGGAAGGACAGGGGAGGGAGGGAAGGACAGGGGAGGGGAGGAAGGAAAGGGGAGGGGAGGGAAGGAAGGAAGGGGAAGGAAAGGGAGGGAAGGGGAAGGGAAAGGAGGGGAGGGAAAGGAAGGGAGGGGAGTACAGGGGAAGGGAAAGGAAGAAATGTAGGGAGGGATATGGGGAGAAGAAAGGAAGGAAGGGGAAGGGAAGGGAGGGAAAGAAAGATAGGAAGGGATATGGAGAGAAGGAAGGAAAGGGAGGGAAAGGTAGGGATGGATATAGAGGGAAGGAAGGGAGGGAGGGAAAGAAGGAGGGAGGGGAGGGGAAGGGAGGGGAAGTGGGGAGAAAGGAAGGAGAAGGGAGGCAAGGGGAAGGGAGGGGAGGGAGGAAGGAAGGAAGAAAGGAAAGGGATAAAGAGGAGGATATAAAGGGAAGGAGGAATATGGAGAGAAGGGAAGGAAGGAGGGAGGAAAGGAGGAACTTGAGAACCTGAGAATGTTAATCTGGGGCAAAACCCAAGGTATTATTTTAATCTCTATCTTGCTCAAATAATAGATGAAATAATTTTCACACTAAATAATTTTCATGTATGTATGTATATAAACAATTTGTTTTATGCATATAATCATTTAAAAAATCAATTAACTAACAAGGGATTGACTAGAATTGGCTTAGGAAGAAAAAAAGTTAGAGCCTATCCATCTGAAACTGAGGTTGTTGCCTCTAAATCACAGGAAGCTGAAAACATTTCCCCCCCAAAAGTTACAGAAGTTGTGAGTGGTTTGGGTTTTTTTAAAGTCTACAATGACTAGTAAATGATATACATACATGATGAATTTATCAACATTTGCTTAAGTAACTAATTGAGAACCAAGCTGTTGCATCAAGAAAGTGGAAAGAACATATTCCAATGACAGTCTTGTAGTGAAATAGATTTTAGATACAAAAAATCCTTTCGAATTCAGTCTAAATGAAGGAACTGTGAGAGTTCTAGAAAAATAAGTGTTACACACAGGTAGATCATAAGTCCTTATTTATTGCTCTAAAAATAATCTGAGTAATAGAATAATGCCAATAAACAGTTGCTCAAAGGAAACCATTCATCCAATACTTATTGGATGAATACCTACTACATGCAAAATAAATCTTGAAAACAATGTGGTATTACTTCATTAACAAATCTTTTTTTGTAAAGCAAAAATAGTCTGCTCAAGTGATCACAGGCTACAAAGTAGGGAGAGGGGTTCTAGTCTAATGAGATTTTCCTCTTTCTAGGACAGAGGTTCTAGGACCGTATAGTGCTTATTACAGGTGAAAATGGGTTCAAAGTCACCACAGCCATTCTTCCTAGCACTGTATAAGTCACAAGTTTGGAGAGTTTACAAATTCAGGAATTTAAAGTGGTTTTTAAATCACTGGACAAATACACCGGAACTCCAAACTGTGATGCTACAATGTCCTTCCTTCCAAAGGTCACCCCTTATAACCATGGACTATGGAATTCAGATTAGCCCATTAATTCTTGCTCTATAGTTGGAGAAATAAAGCCCAAAAAGTTTGTCCAAGTCCGTTCATCTAAGTGTTATTCTATTTCCTAGCTTCTAGTGCAGTGGTTTCCTTCTGGGCATGTTCTTTTGGCTTATGGTATTATCCACCATCTCAATGGAGAGAGAGAGAGAAGAGAAGAAAAGAGAGAGAGAGAGAGAAAAAGAGCATTTGGCTAATGATAAACTCCACAAACCCTTTCAGATCAAGATTGGGCCTCTAATCTACCCATAGTCTTTTTCCACAAAATTCTGCTCCATGAGCTCTTTGTACATTCTTATTATTGAAATGAAATCCAAAGGGGTGCCCACTCACAGATTTCTCTGTTCTCAGAATGGCTATCATTCTTACTCTGTGTCAGATATCAAATATGTAGCTTAACCTACCTTAACTTAAATTAAGATTTCCTTAAATTAGGGTTCTCAAAGTCAACCAGTGAAGTAAGTTTCTTGCCTCATAGTACAGGTGAAGAAACTAAGTCTCCATAAGGATAAGTCATGTGCCTGAGAGACCAATTGGGGAAACGGTTTTCCTGAGTCCTTAGCACAGTGTTTAAGGGAGGTAATCATCAAATGTCTATTGAGTGAATAAAGGAACATTTCTTTACATTTGGGTACTGTACCTGCTAGGAAATTAAGGAACATAAATTAATTATTTTAAAAGATTTACAGCATAAAAGGTTGTGGTACCACAGTACCAGATTTGAAGGTTTCCAATTTCCTACCTTCCTGAAAGCAACGTGATTTCCTCACTTACCACCAGGGGGCAGTGTAAAAATTAAAGCCGTGGCTGGGGCTCTCCCTGCACAATTGTCATGATTTTCTTTGTAGATTATCTAGGTCATTCTGTGCAACTCTGCCTGGAGGGATACTTTTATGGTCAGGACTTCTATCAGAGAGGTGATGAGAGAGAGGAGAGGGAGGGAACTAAAAAGTGAGCTTTTCTCACGCACTAAATTCTGACAGTGTGTTGTACTGGCAAATCCTCGGACTGCACCACCTTGAAAACGTTGATAATGTTCTTTATGTTCTAGGTTTCTTCTTTGTTTACCTCAGTGTGTCACACTCAGTGTGTGTGTGTGTGTGTGTGTGATAAAAATGATAGCATTTTTAATAACTAACTTTACAATAGTAAGTATTGATCAGAGCCTGGCTGTACGGGCACACTCTCTGGATGTGAATCCCGGCTCCACTTGCTATTCTAAGTTCTCTGAGTGTTGGTTTGCTCCTTTGTAATACAGGAATAATAAGATCCGTGTCTCTGGTGGTTATCAGAAAACATAGTGAACTATAAGCATAAAGTGCTTACATAGTGCCTAATAAATGTTTGTACTTATTATTGTAGCAATAAAGTCACATAGAGAATATAAAAACCTCCGAAGAAGTGAAAAGCTGAAATGAACTTATCCTTTTTGCTGCCTTCTTTTACTTCTTTCTTGCTTTTCTCACTTCCTCTCCACTTTCCCATTTCAATGCAATCAGCAGGAGAGCAGAGATCACACATGACACACTAACACTTGCAAGTATAAGTCAAGCTTCGTACCTGAGCTGTTCAGCAAGATTAAAAATTTCCCTAAAATCCTTTTGCATCATTCAGGGAACCTGCTTTGCATTCTGCATTGTGCTTTGATTTTCACATAGGTAATTGCCCTCTTCCAAGCCTCAGTCTGCAGTTAGGTACCATTGTTTATGGGTATAATGACTGTGACAATGCTCTGCCAACTCAGTGTTACCTTCTTACCTTCTCTATGATGGAAACTCAATGAATTTTTCAGCCTTTAGAGATGAGGAAAAAAAGAGCTAGCAAAAAAGAGCTAAGTACACTAAAACAAAGAGCCAATCTATCAAATATGATAGATACGGATAAAAACACACAAGGTATGAAGAGAAAAAAGCTGGTCCAGCTGTTGCTTACCCCAAGGATCTGGCTGAATAGAAAAGAGTAGAGTGGTGTCACCGCCCCATTAACAGCTGCACCCAGAGCACCCGCCACCATGTAGGGCCATTCTGGAGCATTGTATTTCATAATCCTTAGAAACGGGGCAGGGTGAATGTTTTCTTCCTCAGGCACATCCTTGCCCTTGAGGGGAAAGAGGACTCAATTAATGACCCAGATAAAGACACAGACATTTCCCAAATGCTCTTTTGTTCTACAGCAGACCCTTTAGCATCCACAGGTTTCAGAGTCATTGTTTGATTGACTATGAATGCTGTCAGAGATCTATGAGACATGTTACTTTTTGAGGGATGGTTTTGAATTGCTGGTGGCTGCCATGGGTTGGATGGGACACAACCTGGGGGACCACTCACTGAAGGTGATTGTAGTTCTTTCACAATCATGCATGTATGAACTCTCAGGGAGAAACATATGTTGGATCATTGAGAATAACAACTATACTGCATTGACACATGCAAGGATTTGACAAATTTTCAAGATGCTTTTAATAAACATGAAAGTTCTGTGACATAGCCACTGACTAGAGTTCTGAGGCAGGCCAGTATATCCAAAACAAGACAATTTAAACAATTCATGAACTCTTATCAACAGTTATCACTCACTTGAGTTCAATAAGGTTTTCCTAAATGAGTGCCCCAAAATAAGTGATACCCCATTTGGATTTCTAAATTTTTTCATAAGGAGTGAAAATTAGTATTTTCCATTCTGATATTTTAGTTGGCATTAGCATATCTAAGTTAGCAGATTTTTATCCTCTTGAAGGCAAATATTACATATACAACACTATTGATTTATCCATCTTTTTTCTTTGCTATTGAAATTACTCAGTGCTTGGTCTTTAGGTTCATTTATTCAGTAATTGTTAAATTTATTGCCCATTCTGTTTAAGAAAAGATTCTTCATGGCTTACTTAGATTTGTATTGATTTTTTACCTTTTCTGCTAAAATATACTAAAAATATCTGGAGACAATTGATTAAAAACTATTAATGAATGCTCTCACTGCTAAATATCAAAATAGACTAATAGCAAAGATCTTCAAAAACTTTCTCTTTGCTTACAAAGTCAAAGTCCATGTCACCAATTCTATTTAAATGAAAAGCTGGAGTCATGTCTATTTCATCATAGTTGAAAGCCAAAGAGAATCAGGGCAGGTGATGAATGTGTGGCTGCCGCTAATTCACATTCTCTATTGGCTGCCTTTGACAATGGCACCTTGTCATTACTACTCCCTTGTGCAGCAAATCCTCTGTTCAATCATTTCATTTCTGACAGCTTACCAAGTTTAGGCTACCAATGCCAGAGAGAAGAAGAGTGCTTGGGAGATCATGAGCAGAATGGTATAGAAAGAATGGGATTCTTAGGCAAGTCCCTAGTAGTCACCTGTGGAATGTGCCACTAAGCACTTTAACTCTGAGCCTCAGTTACCTCATTTTTAAAATGAAAGAGTTGAATTAGGTTGTTCTGGGAAGACAATCTCTCTGGATCTATCATATTTCTGCACATTTTATGAGCAGAAGCATTGACTACCTTTTTTCAGATTATTTTTCAAGGGTGTTTGTATAGCAAACAACATTGGAAGACAAAAAAGGTGGCTTCGCCCAAAGCATTAAGCCCATTAGGCTCCTCAAATCCAGAATTCCTCTCGCATAACATGCCTATTTCATGGGAATGTCATCTGGCCCTCTTTGCATCATTTTGTGGGAGTTGAGGGTTAAGCTGGGAAACCAAAGCAAAAGTGCTGAACTGTGGCTACTGCTATTGCCCTGAATAAGTCAGTTGTTTATCTCTAACTCTGGGCTCTGGTGTTCTGCCAGCATCCATAAGTCAGTATAACTGGACGGCTTGTGTTACAGTTTGAATATGATATGTCCTCCAGAGGCTCACGTGTTGAATGCTGGTTGCTAGCTGGCAGTGATATTTTAGGAAGCAGTAGAAACTTTAAGAGATGGGGTCTAGCTGGAGGAAGTAGGTCACTGTGGGATGCCTTTGAAGGTTATAACTGGCCTCTGGTCCAGTTCTCTTTCTCTGCTTCATGTCTACCTAGAGATGAACAGTTTCCTCCTCTGCTTACCTCTGCCACCATGACGTTCTACCTCAGGAGTAATGAGTGGAACCCTCTGAAGCCATGAGCCAAAATAAATCTTTCCTCCTTTAAGTTGTTTCTGTTGGGTATTTGGTCACAGTGACCAGAAAAGTAACTAAGAGCATGGCTGGTATCTAAATCAGGATGCTCCTAGACTCGTGAGAGTTAATGATTAAAAATGCAAATTTCTGGGTGTCATCACCAGAATTGCAACTTAGTATGATTCAAGTGTGAATATGTGTTTTAAAAAATAATTGACCAAAACTTGGTTTGAGAAAGCCTTAGCTGTCTATGATCTCTAAAACTCCTCCCACCAAGAAATGTCTAGGTTTTGTAACTGTACATTTTGGGCACTTCAACTTTCTGTACCATGTAAGGATATCCTCCCAAACTTGTGAAGATGTGTTGCCATTTACTGAATTCTGCCTGCTTCTCAGTGACATTGATCTCCAGAACTTTTTCCCAGTAGTTTTTGTGCAAGATAAACTAACAAGAAACAAAAGTAGCTAATCTGAATAACCTTTTTGTCTTCTTACACTAGAAATTTTGACTTTAAGGGAAGATGAATAAATTAGCAGCAAAATTACACAGTTTATATGTGTTCCTCTCTGGAGAGCTTGTACCTCTTCTGCAGCACTGGCAAGTTGCACAGGAAGAACCTGTCAGCAACTCCATGGAAGGAAGAGTGACAGTAACTCTTGTTCATCTTCACATTCTCAGCACAGTACTGAACACATAACTGGTGTGCCATCAATGATCATTGAGTGAAACAATGAATGAAGCTTCTACATCCATGGTACATATATACAACAAAACATTTTCTTAAAAATATTGATTTCCCACTTACTATATAGATGGTTCAATTCTAGACACTGTTTCCCTCGATGCTAGGCCAGTTTCCTTATATCTCCTATGTGGGACAGGGAAAATACAACTTCCTGCTTGGATCTCATGGTCTGTTTTCTATACTATGTTAAGCTAGTTTCTGCATTCCAATCAATAGATTTCTCCTTCCTAGATAATAAAATAAGATTTAATGATAAAGAATGGTAAATATTCTAAGCACTTTGGCTTAAGCCTGTAATCCTAGCTACTTGGGAGGTAGCGATCACAATGAAGCCAGCCTGGGAAAACAATTTGTGAGAACCTATCTCAACCAAAAACTGCTGTGCATGGTAGCACACACTTGTCAATCCCAGCTACACATCAAACAGGAGGATTGCAGTCCAGGCTGGCCCAGGCATAAATTGAGACTCTACCTCAAAAATAACCAAAGCAAAAAGGTCTGGGAAGTTGGCTCAAGTGGTAGAGTGCCTGGCTGGCAAACGTGAGGCCCTCAGTTCAAACCTCAGTGCCATACGCACAAAAAAGGTAAGTATGACAAGGAATGAGATTTTCCAATTGAATAAATACTGATAGTCATTTTGATGGGTCCTGTCTCTGTCCTGTCTCTTAACCAATGTCTAAATCCTGTAAGTTAGCTGTGATGAAGTTATAGGTGTCTAATATTTAACACTGACTTCGTCTTATACATGTTCTGCCTTGTTCTTTAGTTTCATTGAAAAAGATGCATAAATATTACACAGTGAAATCTCTAGCTGCAGGTTTCCCCTACAAATTTAACCTTACCAGTATGATATCTAAGATCTGACCCCATTTAAATGGAAGCTAATGGTACAGGTTGGAGAACCAGGAGAAATGTTCTTACCTCTACCACCAGCCAACTATGAGCTTTTGGGTGAATAACCCCACTTAGAGTTTGGAAGCACAGACATAAAATCATCTAGGTGTTCAGTCAATACTCTAAAAGACCACAAGGTGGTGACAACAGCTTTGTGCAGGTAGACCTTCTGCAACATAAGACAGACTATTCCCCAGTCTACAGAAGGTAAAGTTGAGCCTTCTCCATCAAAATGTGAAAAAGAATGGATTTCACCAATGCTTGGGTTTACAGAATTTAATTTTTAAAATACTTTAAAATACTGAAATGAAGCAGCACTCAGTGCTCTATTCCTTGGATTTCGAAATTCCATTAATTGAATTTTATTAACCTGAATTCTACTGTTTCCTATTTTAAAATAATTCTAATTAGTTATGCACAGACTCTAATATAGTAATGTACAAACAAGCAGTATTAATATAAGATCTTTTCCTCTTGGAGCTTTAGCAAAATTACATCAGCTTCCCTATAAATTTTTTTCTTTCTTCCTTTCTATCTCCCTTAACTAAAGTGGCATCTTTAAAACATTACATGGGGTGATATTTAATTGTCTGGTTCCTAATTTATAAGGCTGATCAGAATGTAGAATGGAACATTTTAATCTCTGTAAAGCTAATTTCTACATTTATTTGATGGCTTCCCTCTGAGCTTTTCCTCCATGAAAAGAATGCTGGGACTCTAATCTCTTGATCTCCAGGGACTGGCTCTCTGTGACTGATCTGGACCATCCACCAGCTTAATCAACAACAGTGAAAAGCCAGCTTGTTCTTCTCTCCCTTCTTTTCTTGCTTTTATCATCAAGCATTTACCCAGAAACTAGAAAAAAATGCAAAAATTGAATATGATTGGCACTATTATGTTGAAATTTCAATGTAGTGTTTGGTGCTTTTTCCCTTGTGGCTTTATTAAACACCTATTCTCATATCAGGCATCTTCTAGTAATTCGTGGCAGTCCCATGGACATAAATTAAATTGCTATGTTTAGAACCAGAAGAGGAGTCAATTCTTTAACAGCAAGATGTAACAAAAGGTCAAATCTGCAAAATGTGTTTCCTCTCACTGTGATTCATCCTGTGCTCTTAAATAAATTCCAGTGTCCTATGGAATTTATTTAAATCAGCCTATTAGATATTGAGACCTCTGTTTATTCAGTGTTAACACATTAAAATAAAAAGGGTCTTAATAATCCATCTCTCATGGGCATAAGGTCAGTAGTAGCACACTTTATTCCACATCTCTCCATTGTGAACCAATGTTTATAATGACTTTTTGATGGATTCACAAGTTGAAATTTTATTGAAGACATTTTGAAATTACATCATGCATAACATATATGCTTATAATGGAAACATTCCATGACTTATTTGCTTTGAACAATCTTAGAGCTTACATTTCATTTCATCATGGAAACTCAATTTTCCATCCTAGTTTAAAAATTTCCTGATATCCTACTTGATGCAAGGTACCTGGTTGAGTGCCATGGTAATTTGACACAAATAAAATGTGGTCACTAGGTTTAAGCAGCCTATAATTTAGTAAGGGGATAGACAACACGACTTCAAACAAAGCTCAGTAACAAAATTGCCATGAAAAGTTCTAATGAAGGCCTTGTAGGGGCTCAAAGGAGAGATTATCAGGGCCAGGCAAGGCTTGGAGGTCAGATGGTCACCTTATGTGAACATTAGACCATATCCATGACAACAGGACACCTGCATCCTCATGAATGGACCTCTATAATTCAAAGATGTGACCACTCATATAAGGCCTAGCATTATCAAATACCTTTGCTCTTCAACACTTTTACCAATTTTAAGAGGGAATTTTAAAATTTGAGAAAAAATATTCTGGGGTATTCTTTAGAACTTTAAGAGGAACCTTCCATATAAGCAAATAATTTCCTAAATACATATGATAAATACATTTCCTGTGTTTATTAGAATGGTTCATCAACAAACTATTAACTAACCCTTAGTAGTTTAAATTAACAGGTGGCCTTTGAAGTAATTAATTAGTCTGTTTCTTATTTAAAACTGTATAAAATATAGAACTTTCACCAAGTCCTACTGTTCGTTATTTAGTCTGTCTTAGCAAGTCATTACTAGATATACATGTAGAAGGCATATATGGTCTGGTATAAAGAGCACACCAGGGTCCCCAGGAAGATTTGTTCCATTCCCCACATGGAATTGGCACCTGACCTTGTCTTCATAAGTAGACTTATGATCTACGACTGCCAATGGAGGTTCATGTGCCAGGTGAGAAAGCTGAGACCTGGAGCGTTGCCGGATGGAAGCTCTGTAAACAGAAAGATTGGAGATTCTGTAGATGGCAGGCAGGTTGGAACAGGACTCAACTGGTGTCCAAATTTACATCATGTGTCAAATAAACAGAAATGTTTGATAGGTCACATGGTAACCAGATCAGGGAACTTCCAGGTTAGGTTTGTCTTGGGTCAGAAAGAATCAGGTTGATTGCTTTGGGCCCCAAGCTCTGTAACTGCTGGATATAGATTCAGAGTGCATCCGTGAGGGATAAAGTGAAGAGGAGCAAAGCTGTCCTACCAACCCTCTAAAAAAGGTCCATGGATCAAACATGTTTCCTGTCTACAGTGTTCTGCTAACTCCTACCATGGCAAAGGCACTGGCCAATCACTTTTACCTCTCTTCTGCTTTAAGGCATAGTTTTGATCTCTCTCTCTGTTTCTCTGTCTCTCTGTCTATCTCTCTCTCTCTCTCTCATACACCAGATGTTTAGTTAAGTGTTATATCACCTGCTTACAAATGAGCTACTAGGAGGAAATAGGGTTCCTAGGGAGATTCTCTCCATGGTACATACTGCCCTTAGAAATATATTACCAAAAACCTTACTGGAATGTTACACAGTTCAGTGAATTTACTTACTCATTTGTTTATTCAAGAAGTTTATTGGGTACCTACTACATGCAAACCAATACTAGGTGCTGGAGGGAACTTACTCTGAAGTACGACAGTGTAAAGAGAGAGATGCTGGAGGTGAGAAGACCTGTCCCTATGGCTCTCCTGCACCCAGATGGAACCATTCTCATGTCTCCCCTATCATTTTCTATCCAGGGAAATCAGACAAAAACAAGTATCAAGGAGGTTCCTGTGACCATGTGCTCATCCAGCTTTCCTGAGAAGGTACTAACAAGTCAAAAACTATGCTAATTTATTCTCACGTTCTATTTATGGCACTGCCACCCTCTTAGTCACCAAGCTCAACAATGAGCATTTACCTGAAGTCCTCCTCTTCCCTGTTCTTGCATATTCAAACTCTCACAAGTCTCATTATGATTGGACATGAAACCACTCCCCACCCCCACCCCTTGTCCCCCAACAGCCCTCTGGGACACCCCCACTGTTTTCTACCTGGCCTAAATCTCTGTAAGTTGTTTCTTGGAGTTAGATAGCTAAGGTGGAGACATCTTCTCCAGAATGTGAAGAAGAGGCTGTGTCACTCGGAGATAGGCTGTGCAATGGGGTGAAAAATCAAGGTCATGGATCTAAAGCAAATGCACAGCTATGGACACAAAGTGGGTTTATGTGACAAGGAAGAGGGTGTCAAGATGCAATGACCACTACCTCCTGGTTCTGAACATGGGAGACCTATGTTCATTTACATAACCTACTTACATGTCCCTTGGGTCTCTACTACTTTATTCTCATACTTCTTTCTCTTTTTTTGGCAATACTAGGGTTTGAACTCAGAGACTCATGCTTATAAGGCAGGCATTATTACCACTTGAGCCACTCCGCCCTTATATTTCTTAAGGGTCTCTCTATCCCCATTCCATAAATCATTCCATCCATCTGGCAAAGATTGTCAAGAGACATGAGCAGAAAGTGTGCTGGGCAAGTGCTTTGTCTGCCAGGACTCTGTTCACCCTCTGGTTTACCAAAAACACCAGAGTAGGAGTCTATCACATCCCTTTCCAGAAACCTGCATCTGCTCCTCTCCTTCTCAGAAGCTGCGTACCACTTTTTATTGTGAAGAAAATCAACTAGTTTGGGGACTACATACTCTCCCTTTCAACTTTATTGTTTAGGAATTTATTTGCAGGCATTCACTAAATTGTTTTTGAACCTAACATATACTGCTGAAGAGGGACTCAGACATCAGAAAGACTAAACCAAAGAAACAAGATACAAATAAACATTTTATTTAGTCATCTTCCCACAAAAAATAAAATTGTCAGCCTATATAAAGAGATATTCTTAACAGACCTCCTTACTCAAACTTATAAATCTTTCTCTGCAGGAGGTTAATAGCTATTTTCTGTCTATAGACAATATTTCTGTATTTCTCATGTTAGGCACCAAAATGTAGAACTTGTGAGAAATTATAGCCAAATAAGAAAACATATTAAAATGGTTACCTGTTTCTAATAATGAACTGCAGATAAACTCTTAGAATTGGTAGAATTTTGTTCATCTTAAAAAATAACAAAATGTTTATTTTCTTATTGATATGACCACATCTTAACCTAATCACCAGAAGAGGTGTCTCATCATTTTTTGTGTTTAAGAATGTAGTTGGTATCTTCAAGTTGTCATTTAATGACTCATTTTATTCATGATTAAACATCCTGCCAAATATCTATGAAACTTGCTTAATAATTTTGTTAGTTTTATAGCTTTTACTTTATAGAATAACTTGAAGCTATTGTTTTGTTATTTTCCAAATTCAATAAACTCAATGAAACTAGTGCCTCTTAAAAATTTTAATAGACTTACTCTAATCAGAACAAAAAATAACCAAGTTGAAGAATTTAGATTTATTAAAAAAAGACATACTAGGACCTGAAGTATCCACCTACATGTGAAAATAAGTACAATACTTTTTAGTGAATTATTCCTTGAATATTAAAAATGAATACATTTACAGGAAATCAATGTGAGTCAATGCCCTGTATAGCTATCCTTATCTCAACCAGCAAAAACCCTTGTTCCTTCCTATTATTGCTTATACTCTCTCTACAACAAAATTAGAAATAAGGGCAAAATAGTTTCTGCTGGGTATTGAGGGGGGAGAGGGAGGGGGTGGAGTGGGTGGTAAGGGAGGGGGTGGGGGCAGGGGGAAGAAATGAACCAAGCCTTGTATGCACATATGAATAATAAAAGAAAAATGAAAAAAAAATGAATACATTTGTTTTGACTACTTGGAGTTGTTACCTGATTGCTTCATTTCAAGCTTATTTAACTCCTTTTCAGTAAACACTTAGCCCTCTTGAATGAGCAAGTGCTATGACCAAGTCTTTGCTCTGAGCACAGTCTTTGTCAACCATCACCTACCAGTAGCTTCCTAACTGAAGGGAAGAATATACTGACCAATGTTCCCATGAATACAGACAAATATTCTGGGGTAGAATTCTTCATACATGGCTTCCAACAATAGAGGAAATTTTTTAGTGAAACTCTTAAGCCAGAATGAAAGACTAAAATTTACAATCTCCCTAATAATATTCCAAAAATGTGTTCTGAAAGTGAACACTGATATATTGATCCAGAGAAAAACAAATACCTCATTTAGGGACAGTCTCTTTAAAAGCTAAAAAAAAAATTTAATTTCATCTAGCTGAAGAATAATTTGACTTCAGATTCCTTATTCTGGGAGCAGAAGTATTTATAATTCAATTACCTCTTAGTAGGTTAACAAATGGAGCTAAATGTATGAATGTGACCTTTATATGAGACAGTATTTCATATCACAGTAGGCTTTGATGGGAAAAAGACTACAAACATATTTTTCTTTTTTTTCTTCTTGAGACAGAAAGTTACTATGTAGTCCAGGCTAGCCTACACTTTACTATTTAGACAAAGTTGATCTTGAACTCAAGATCCTCCTGCCTCAGACTCTTGAGTGCTAAAATTACAAAAGCATACCACATTGTCCAGATAAACACAGATTTTTTTAAATCCCCTTTCTAAAGTTAAAACAATATTTTAATGAGAGTCCTACCCAACATGACCCTACCTCAATAGGTTGAAAAGCCAAAGTTAAACAACAGCAAAAAACATGAACTGGAGACGTGAAAGAAAATGTAGCAATAAAACATCCATTTGCATTTTCTTACGACACAGGACCTGGGAGTCTGCTTAGGGCTTTCCTTGTTGTACCTGAGATATTGCCTGAGGATTAGAGCCACAGAAGGCTCCCATGAATATCTGAACACTGAAAAACCTTACCTTAAACTATCCTGGTAGCCCCCTCTGTTAAGGGTCTTCTCAGGTATGTTATCTTCAGTTTCTTCTTTTCCTATTCAACACAATGGGAGCCATTCCTTAGTGCATACAACCAGCAGAGACATAGAGCCATATTTAAGCAGAATTACTTACTATGTTTGCCTAGACTGTAACAACAATGCCTGATGCCAAAACATTATATTAACTTTATTGCAACAAATAAAACTTGGCACTTGTCCAACACATTCTAACAAAACATCAAAATTCTCAGTAAGATTGAGTTATATGAAACATATGCTAGCCTGTTACCTCTATAGAAATAGGTAGCTTTTTAGCATGAATCATAAAAAAAAAATTTGAAGGGAGGTCCACTGGAAGTGAAAAAAAATACAGAACCAGGAAACTTTTCAAAAGACTATTCAGAATAACTTGTGTGTGTGAAATGTGTATAGTAGTCATTCCTAATGAGGTTCACAAGTCCAAATGTGAAATGCAGGTGAAAGTTTAGAGTGGTTGGCTAATTTAGCTTGGGGTAGCCACCAAGTCTGAAAGTTCATATTGATAAAGAGGAGGTGTGCTAGAGCCTGAAGTGTCAATCTATATTTGAAAATAAGCATAAAACATTGTAGTCATTGGGCAATTCACTCAGCCAATGGAATGAGAAATCTTTCAGTGTACAGGACACATTCCAGGAAGCCTGTACTATTTGCAAAGGGTTAAAAAAAACGGATAGAATTGAAAATTAGAAGAGCTTGGGTTTAGCCCTATAACTTGATCAAATAACAACCTCCTGAGCTTTAGTTGTTTCCTTTATCATCCGTGTGATGCCTGACAGGGCTGTTAGGAGAATAAGTCGGACAGTGTATATTCACAGGATAGAAAGTCAAAAATTTCTGCATCAATTAGCTATTTAATATGATTTACAGGTGAAATGGAAAAGGCACTTACCCTTTTCACCTTTTTCATTGAGGGCTTTCTCTCCATGGCTTTGCAAAGTCACTAGAGTGAAATAGATGCCTTTTCTTTCCAGCAGCTCTTCATGAGTGCCTCTTTCCACTGCTGTGCCATGTTCAAAACCGATAATAACATCTACAGCTCTGACTGTGGATAGGCGATGGGCCACAGAGATAATTGTGTGCCCATGCTGAATCTGTAAGAAAGTATGGCGCACCGTTAAACAATACTGCCACACAGAGCTGACACTGACCTGTAGGTCATCCCAGTATCCACAGGTAAGTCAGAGCCTTGGTCCCTGGGACTGTCCTTAAATGAGCTGTACAAACTTTAGAAAGGCCACCCCAGTTTCTTGGAGGAGCCATAAATTCCATCGTGCATGGGTCTGGCTGCTGCTATTTATCAACAGTTTAAAATGGGGGGATTACAGATTTTAAAACTCATGGTACTCTCAAAAAGAGTTCAAAATGTACTTGTGCAGCTTTTGGAAGAAAATCATGACTGTGTTTTGTTCAACATGAGTAAAATTGTAGTCAACCAGTATTTTCTAAATAGTTAGACTAGCTGCACAGACCCAGATAGAATCATCACACACACACACACACACACACACACACACACACGAGTTGTCACACAAGCATGTCCATACAGACCTGTGAAATTAATTCAGAGGTTGCACAAACCTTACTCAGTGCTTCTTGTACCATGGCTTCGCTCTCATTGTCCAATGCTGACGTGGCCATGTCCAAAAGGAGGATCTTGGGGTTTCGGATGAGGGCTCTAGCAATGGCTATCCTTTGTTTCTGGCCACCACTCATCTGGCCTCCTCCCTCTCCAACAAGGGTATCAAATTGCTAAGAAGAAGAGGACACTAGTCATGAGGCAGAGATGATGGCTCTCAGATCGCTGACAGCGATCTGGTGTGAGATCTTTCCTCAAGCATGACTTTTCACAGGGCCAAATTTCACTTCCCAAAACAGGTTACATAATCAATATAAACAGATTATATAATCAATATTTTCATGTGAGGTAAAGAAATTGATTTTTGCATTTATTCCCACATACACTGACCTGTGTAAATGTTCTTCTTTAGCTCAACTTCAAATATAATTTTCTAATCAAAGTAAAAATTGGTCAGCCTTGAAAACCAAATCCATCTCAAAGGATTAAAGCACTTATCAATCACTGTCTCTTTTCTCCAGTGAGACAACACAGAAAAAGCATAAAGCTAAAGATGTTTATATAGTGATTAAAGGTCAATCTAAGCTTTGTGATCATTACCATGGCAGCGAATGGTGACTGACTATCTCACAGACTTCATGCCACACTGAACACTAACAATGGCTGTTGGTATGCAGACCCTTATCTTGCTTAAATTAGCCAACAAAACTGAGCTCCTGAATTCTACACTGTCATCTATAGTCTTCAGAAATACCCCAGGAGGTAGGACTGTTGCTCTCTGCAACTGGAGAATAAGGAAATGCTGGACATAAGGAGGTAAAGTAACTATGAAAATCTAGTAAAGCTGGTAAGTAAAGAAGTTGCATTCTGATTCTGAAGTCTTATTCTCTGTAGCCACTGTACTGTAGCTTATTCACAGGAGCAATGTGATTCTTCAGGGTAATTTAGAAAGCCAAATAGGAAGTGCTCAAGATCACTGACTCTGGAGCCAAACACCTGTTATGAGTCTTGTCTCTCCTGCTTTCGTGTTGTATAATTTTGAACAAGTTGTTGACCTCTGAGAGCCTCAGCTCTCCATCTGCAGAAGGGGATGATAATGTTTGCTACCTGCAGGGTGGTTTTGAGAGTTAAATTAGTTAACAAATGTAATGTCTAGAATACTGCCTGGAATGTAATAAGTACCATATACATGTTAACTGTTAATAACCACTCTCTGACTTAACAGACCATCACAGGCAAAACTCATGTAAGTCTGATAACACAGAGCTGTAGTAGTAGCTGTATAGAATAGAGATCCATGTGAAATTATTTCTGAATATGTGAAATGCAAATCTGAGGACATTATATTTAAGCTGTGTAAGCATAAGAAAACTAAAGAACACTGGTAATGGTTGTTATGGTTTGGATTGTAAATGTTCCCCAAAGGCCCATGTACTAGTAGCCAGCCTTTAGGAGGAAGTTTTAGGAGGTGGCCCTAGGAAGTTAGGGGTATGTCCTTGAAGCAGATATTGGGACCTTGGACCTTTTTTCCGTCTGCTTCTTGGATGCCAGGAGATCAGTAGCTTTGCTCTGCACACACTCCTTGCCATGATGTTCTGCCTCACCTCAGGCCCCAAATCAAGGGAACCAGTTGACCATGGACTAAAACTTCTGAAACCATATACCAAAATAAACTTTTCCTCATAGAAGTTGCTTATCTCAGGAATTTTGTCATAGAGACAGACAAAATTCTGTCTCTATGAGTTTAGTGCTGACTAACACAAGGTGGACCTCAAAAGAGCATTATAAAAGTATTGCCTCATGACAAATTTAGCATCTTTTTAGACATATACTTAAGAGATGGAAGAAGGCAATTTTATCCATATCAAGGGGAGCTTTTCAAAAAAAAAAGTTCCCTACTTTGGTTGATCTTACATAAATACATTTTCAGATAAAAGAGAATACTCATGGTGCATCTCCAGGCCTGAAACTAAAACATGACATTAGGAATTTACTGATTCAGGATTCAGTTGAAAAGCACTGTATATCGCTGTATAACTTTCTTTCTTTGATGGGTTCCCCTGAAGTGTGAGACTAGGGGTACCTGTGGCAAATTCATGATGAAGTTGTAGGCATTTGCGTCCTTGGCAGCTTGGATTATATCTTCCATTGTTGCCTCTTTTCTGCCATAACGGATATTTTCTGCAATAGTGGTAGAGAACAGAACTGGCTCTTGCTCCACTATCCCAATCTGATCTCTCAGCCACCGGATGTTAAGAGAGCGAATATCATGGCCATCCAGAGTCACCTAGATAGTATGAGAACAGGATGAGAACAACATGACATTGCCTGGAACCTTTCAAGGCTCTGAATCATTTAAGTGGTATTTGATCAGTGGGGAGGAGAAAAAACAGAAACTAACAACATTATAACAGAAGCAATTCTTGAAATGTAGTTATTTATATAAGGATGACAATATTTAATTGAAGTCAAGTTTATCTGCAGGACAATTCATTGTAGAAACACAAATGATATAAAAGTCACTTAATTTAACACTTTTGTCTCAGGAATGAACAAAGGAGTAGTCAGTTGTTCACCATACATCGATTATTTTTAACATCTTTGGAGAGCAAAAAGTGACTTCAAAAGATGCAATAAAAATAAGCAATAATCCCAATCTTTTATCTATGCTTTATAGTAAATCTTACTTTCTAGTCAGATTCATCAAATAACACTTTACTATCCAAAAGTAACTAAAGCTATAAGTAGGAGCAAACAAAAACCACTATAGGGAAAATATATAAACCTTCCATCCAAAAATCTTGATTTCTAGATATTCAGAGTGCTATGGTGATGTGCAGTAAAGAATACCCAATTGAGAAGGGAATGTCTGTGAAAAAGGAAAATTCTGTTATGTTTTCCACGTTCACATAACATTACGTGTATTGAGAGAACTCATCACATCGGGTGCCATTTAATATGCAGTCAAAACAAGTCCATCTCAAGGCATCAAGGAGATGGTGGCAAAAATAATTTTAGGCAGAGTAACAGGCATGAGCTTTGGCATCTACATGCCTGGGTTCAAGTCCCAGCTTTGTCCCTTCTTAGCTAAAAGGCCTTGTCTTCCTAGCAGAGAGGCAGGTCAATCTCTGACTCTCTGCTTCCTCATTTGTAAAATGGGCACAGATACCTTTGGCAGTCATTGTGGAAATGAGGAATCCTTCTTATGAAGTATTTGACATGGCATATGATAAATAAGTGGCAATTACTATTATTTACTTCAGTCTATGTTTATTCAAATACAAGAAAAAAGAGACAAAACAGTTTGTGAAATTATTATTAACTTAACTTTTCAAAATAGTAATCAAGGGTTGTACTCTGTTGATTTCTAGCTGTGTTAACTTATGTTTGGAGAAATTAATGAACCCACAATGACTTTGTTATACAAGTGGAGTAAGCAGTTCACTGAAGAAGCGGCAATAACAGTTTGCACCTGTACATTCAGCCATGCCTCTTGGAATGGATCAGTCGGTTATTCATTGACTACTGTCAACATGCAGGAAATTCGTCCCGTTACTTCACTCAGAATTATTCAGTCTATGTGTGTGCCAGGACAGTCTTAGTTTGACAATATACTACCATTTGCACTCCCCTGCCCCACATGTTCTGAAGTTTCTGGAAGATAACACACCATGCCTTCAGAGGGGTCGTAGAATCTCTGAATGAGCTGCAGTGCTGTACTTTTCCCAGATCCACTGGGTCCCACCAGAGCCGTCATTTCCCCTGGTTTAATGACCATGTTGAGGTTATTTAAAATCTGGAGAGGAAAGAAAATTTAAAAGTTCAGATTACCACTGTGTACCTAACCAAACAATTAGGCTACAACTTGGGATGCTGTGAGGGCACTGTGTGTGAGTGTGAGTCTGTGTGTGTGTGTGTGTGTCTACTTACACCCCCACAGCAACATCTGTCAACACCATCAATCACCAGCAAAAGGAAATAGTAGCTAGGATGAGGTTTTAGCATTTGGCACATTTGTTTAATAGCTGTGCTAATAAGTAAAATGATGTGCTAACACTGCTGAAGTAAATAAGCCAGGCTAATTTAAAATTATGTCCCCAAATCTAAAACGCTTTTGGCACACTAGATGCTTCCAGAAAACCATTCCAATTAGCTAAAGAAAAAACCCATTAGTTAGAAGTATAATGCTAATTTGCTTACCAGGAATTAATGATTAATGATAAAACAATTTGCATGTTTTAAGCCATTCTATTTGTATGGTATGTGAGGATATTATCTGAGTAAGTTTACCTAATAGATGCTGGTGTTGTGTTTCTAGATCTAAAGCCCTGTGAAAGTCAGGACTGAATGCTGGCAGGGCTCAAGAACAAGAATGAACAGCTTTTTCACAACTATCTGTTGGAAAGTTTCACCAATGAGAGGTCATTTTGATAGTGATTGTGTAAGGGTGGCTTGGTCCTCTATGTGACAAAAACCCCACATAGCTTTCATTTTGCACTAGAGAGTCAAGCCTGCAAATACCTTTCTACTTACTGACCTGTATTGGACTATAAACTCACAGAACAGAGCAGGCAAGGAGTTTGTTCCTCCATCATTATAGCCTCAGTACAATGTAGGACTAAATACATACTTATGGTGTGAATAAATGATATTTATGGATCTAAATAAAAAATTATTAAACCAAACTACTGACATTAAGAATAAAATTAAATCAATGTCTCAGTTCAACCAGTATTTGTTAAGCAGCTATGATGAACTGATTTGGAATGGCTATTACAAAGAAAGGTTTAGCCTGGCTCAGTGGCTCACACCTGTAATCCTAACTACTTGGGAGGCTGAGATTGGGAGGACTGCAATTCAAGGCCAACCCCAGAAAAAGTTAGTGAGACCCCCATTTCAACTAATAAAAAGCTGGGCATCTGTCATCTCAGTTATGAGGGAAGCATAAATAGTAGGATCATGGTCCAGGATGGTCCAGGCATAAATACAAGACCCTATTTGGAAAATACCTAATGCAATAGGGGCTAGGAGCATGGCCCAAGTGGTAGCACACCTGCCTAGCAAGTACAAGCCCCTGAGTTCAAACCTCAATACCACCAAAAAGAAGAGAAAGTTTTAGTCACCCAAACATAAATATTTACTGAGTGAGTTCTAGCTTGTGATTTTTATTTTACAAACATTTTTACATACATGATGACATTTGATGATTAGGTATATATGTAATATATATAATACTAAAGATATAAATATGTAATCAGAATATATACTTATGTTTTATATATTTATAAAATGCAAGTAAATATGATATATGTTTATATATGTAAAATATTTATAGATATAGATACCTATCTATATAACATGGATATATATAAAACATGGGTAAATATATTACAGATATGTAAAATGTTATACATACATTTACCTTCTCTCCATATGGTGTACACATACTTTACACAGAAATATATACCTACATTATAGGTATATGGTATCAGATTAAAATGAATCTTACAACAGAAATATTATTTAAAAAAGGAGACCAGAGATACTCTGTTAAAAATGAAGAATAAAATTTCAGCTACTTGGGAGGTAAAGATAGGAGGGCTCTGGTTTGAGGCCAGCCCAGGCAAAAGCACAAGACCTTATTTGAAAAATAAGCCAAAGGGAAAAGTACTGGGGATGCAGCTTAAGTGGTAGAGTTCTTGCTTACCAAGCATGAGGGACTGAGTTTAACAGCACTACTACCAGAAAAAAAAGAAGCCTCATTTCAAAATCATTTCATTCAGGGAAGTACGTCCTAAGTTTCCTGTAGAGTAGGTTGCACTTAAAGATACTGTGTTTTAAGTACAAGAAAACTGTAAATGTCCTTCACCACGTGCCCTAGACAAACACCTCATCCAAGAAACGCAGGCATAACACCATCAAGTTCCTTCCTGTGAAGACTAATGCAGTAAGTGGCCCTGGGGCACTTACAGATAGGAAGGAAAAAGCTATAGACACCAGCTTCCCTTTTCCCTGACACCTCCCCACTCAGTGTGTTCCACCCTCTGTGTCTCGAAGGAGGTGGCCCTGAAGGCTGGCTTCCTAATTGTTCCAATTCCTTGTAGTCTATTTATTATGTGCTTGGAATGACAGGCTCTGCCACTCATTTCAACAGAGCTTTGTATGGTTGACTTAACCTGAATGTGCCGCTAGTTGTGCTCCAGCCAGGGGGATTTGCACAACATGATCATCACAAAGGATGCCACCAAAGGACACTTCCAGAGAAACATACCTTTGTCTCCCATTCCTGGAAACTGAGTCAGACCTCAGAAAGCAATCAATCTGTGACTCTCGAAATGAGTCATTAAAGAAGCAAACATCCATCGTTCCCAGGGAAGAGGCTGGCACTCACCTGCACCTCTGGTCTGGAAGGGTAGTGGAAGGTCACGTTTTGGAATTCAATTTCACCCTTTATTCGATCCAACTTGTAACCATCATCAGCCATGCAGTCCATGATGGGCTTCTGGTGGAGTATAAAAGAGATGTGGTAACTATGCGTGTTATATGCATTTCCTGTTCATCTTAGTGGATGTTAACTCATAAAACAGAACAACCAGGCAGAACATTGCAGAGATATGCTAAAGGTAAATTGCTTTCTCATTAAATACTTAATAATAAGAGTGATAGTAATCACTACTATTTATTTGAGATTTACTATGAGATATTATTAGATTACTATATATTGTTATTAAATTAATATTATAATAGCTGTAGCTTATAATTAATTTAATTTGTAGTACTGAGATTATATTTTAGAAATATTATAAAATATGGTAATATAATTTCTTGATATATATCATCACATAAATATATAATATTAATGTTTGTTATATTATATCATACATTAATCATATTAGTGAGATCTTATTATAGGAGCAATGTCCAAGATATTTTAATGTACCTTTTCATCTACATAGTTGTCATTATAATCTAACTAGACAGACAATATTTTTCAGATAAGGAAGTGGAGAAATCTTAGAGAGATTATTTCTTGCCTAGGGTCCTGCAACTAACTAGCCCACTAAGCTAGCCTCCAGTGGTACCCCACATTTGAACATTCGTTGTAGAGGATAATTAAGACACTGTCCACTGTCCTGAATTTCACCTCTGTTGCTGTTAGAAGCAAGCCTAATCTAGAATTTAACAATTTTAGTTAACTAGACAAAGGCAAGGGCTCCCAGAATACTCCAGATTCAGCTTCTTCCCCCCTCCACAACTGGTAATAGAAATTCATCAACATTGCTCTGTTTGGGGCTTTCCTTTCTTCCTTCACATCTCTAATAAAGATAATAAAATAAATTTTAAATGCCTTAATTTTTAGTTATAGTTTCAGGGTCCTTTTACAGCCATCACTTCATTTGAGCACCTAACAACCTAAGAACAAGGTAGCAATTGAACAGATTAACATCTTTATGTGGTTTCCAACGATCTCACTATATGCCAGGATATGAAACCGACAATATAAAGCAGTTCCCTCAAGTAGATCACAGCTTCATTGTTTGGCAAAAAATCCTCATGATTCAGGAGATCCATGAGCATTTCTGATTTCCAGGGTTTCTGACTCTTAGATCAGGGCAATTTTTAAGAGAGGAAGAATAACAGCTTGCCCTCTTCTCCATTCTGTTCTTGGATTGTGACTCCTGGCTTGACCTCTAATGTGCCTCCATAGATTTAGCCAGTAAAGTCCTAGCCAGGCTATCAAGGTTATTTGAAAAACTTGTAGAAACTTTCTGCAATAGTAGAAGATAATCCAGCCTGGTAGTGTATACCGATAATATTAGCAATCAGGAGACTGAGGCAGGAGGAGCATGAGTTCAAGGCCAGCCTGGGATACATAGTGAGGCCCTGTCTCAAAAAAGAGAGAGAATCCAATCTTATGAACTCAATCTGAGAGCCCTACCTGCCCTGACCTTTCCCATCCCTCCAGAATTTGCCCCTTGCTTACTCTGTTCATACACACTGGACTTCTTTCAGCTACTTGAGTTCACCAAGCCCTTTCCCAACCTGGAGTTCTCTCTTCCAGGAATTCCTTCCCTTCTGCTCTCACTCCTCTGCACTCAACTGAAAGATTGCTCCTAGACACTATCACATTGCCTCCATTGGACTTAGCACTATCTGACATTACCTTTGACTGGGTTTTCTTCTTTATGCCTGTCTCTCAGTATGAGTGTGAGATCAGGGGCATTTTTGTTCTAGTTCACAGTTGCATTTCCAGATCCTCGAAATGGGTCTGGCTCATGATGGCACTTCGTAAGCATTGCTGACTTAAGGGCAGTTTTGATAGCTCCTCATACTTTCTATCATTAAGAGTAAATGCCTCAGGGGTTCATTGCCATCCCTCCCATCTCCAACCTCCTATTGGCCTTTGCTTTTGGCTTTTACATACCCTGTCTATTGTCTCAAAGATGCTGGTAGCTGCCACACGCCCAGTGGCAAAGGCTTCCAAACATGAAGATGCATGGCCAAGATTTATAGCTCCTACTATGACACTGAGGAAAATCTGAAATAAAAAGAGAGACACAGTGGGCTGAGGATGTATAGTTCAGTGGTTAAGTGTTTTCCTAGCATGCACAAAGCCCTGTCCAGTACCACAAAAAAAAAAAAAAAAAGAGAGAGAGAGAGAGAGACAGTGTTCAGGCATTTTGTCAGCTTGTAAATAATGCTCCCTACCATTTGGGCCATTCAGGTGAACTCAGAGATTTCTCATAAATTTTCTTCTGAGCCAGTTTGAAAGCTAAACAGGGAATCATCTCTCTGGAAATGCCTGAAATAGCTTTTGTTCTGGAAAGTACTTACCCATGGTTATGAGACTTTTAAATACTACATTATTTTTTTTACTGAGCATCACTCTTCTACAAAGTTGAAGAAATAAGTAAGAAGTCATAATCAAAGTGTCCTATACACACAAAGTGGGACAGAATCATGATACAACAAGTTGGTTTGTTATTAATCAACGTGGTAATGGTTTTCTGGCTAAAGGGTAACCTAAATGATAGTGACACTAAGATAGGCTTGACTGTCCTAAAGGCTGGTATGTGCACAACCAATCTGTTACTACTGCTACAAGTATACAAGTCACTAGAATAATGATTATCACTACGTCTACAATTCTGCTGCTAGCAATAATAGGAAGACATGATCTAATTGCTTGATTTCTAGTACTTCATTTAATCCTTACAACAGACAAGAAATCAGACATATTGGGAGGTTCTCTAATTTTCCCTAGGTCCCAACTTATAATCAGTAGATCATATTTGAACTCCAGCACTTGACCACCTTTCTGTGCAGAGCTAGGGAAACTGTCCTTTGACCCACCAACATAGCCCTCTCATTATGTTAGGGGAAGGCTACCTATCATGACCAGGTGAGCTTACCAAATAGCATTCTCTTTGTATCAGTGCTGTTTACAAGGATGAGGAAAAAGCAAATTGACCTATAGGAAGAACACAAGTCTTCTTGTCCCCATCCTGTCCACCAAAGAATGGTTCCTGATCACATAACTTGCATGGATGATATTTCATTGGCCATAGTTGATTGCCAAGCTTCTGCATGAATGCAGCCTTTTTAGGTAATCAAATGATCCCAACCAATGGAGGTTTCCATAGGCCAGACCCTTCCAATGGTTCTATCACAGCAGAACAAATTACCACAAGTCTGTCCCCACTCTGTTTCCTCCTTGGAGCACCTGGGCCATAGAATGCCTCAGTCTCTCGGCCACCTCATTCCCTCTCCATTCCACACAGCAGGACAATGAACATGGCCAAGGCTGCTCCACGCAGGTGATAGGCTAAATTCTTGCCTTCTCCTTAAATCCTCCAGGCTATGCTTGGGGATAAATGATCTCTCTTCATCTGTCCTTCTTCCCTTCCATTATGACAGACTGTTCTTCCTAAGAGATTACTTAACTGTTTAAGCCCTAATTTCTTTATCTGTAAAACAGGGATAATGATAGTATATACTTCATAGGATTGCAAGAGGACTAAATGACATACTGTGAGTAAAGATGATTGGTTCAGCACTAGTCATATACATGATAGCAATGGCAATGGTGAAGAGGAAAATATCAAGGACCCACACTTAGGAGGTAGTAAGGGCAGCAGGCAGAATGGTTCTTATGGACTAAATTGGTATAAGGTTACCCTCACTGGAGGTCTTCCTACCCCAACAAGGAGGCTTTCCTGTGCCCTAGGAAGGGCCAGAAAATGTTTTCTGTAAAAGTCAAACAGTAAATAGTTCAGGTTCTTCAGACCACATGGGATCTGAAGCAATCACTCAACTCTACCATGCAGTACAAAAGCAGTCATAACAATCTGTTAATAAGCTACTGTGGCTATGTCCAATCGAACATTCTTCATAAAACCAGTGATGAACAAACATTGGCCTGTGGACTACATTTTGCTGATTAATTGGAGACTTAAATTGAGGTATAGCGTCAAACCCTGGCTCAGCCTCGCTTTACAAGCTGTGGCCTCATGCAAATGCCTCTCTGGAAGTTCTTAAGGGAGGTGAGAGTGAGACAGGACAGAGGCAATGTCCAATACCATCATAGGGATCAGCCCACATCCCGACAGAGCAGCAATTTTTACCCCAAATATCGTCCCCCGTAGCCCTGTGGACAGTAGTGTGGGAAGAGAGGCAGTTCTGGAACAGTCGATGTGTGGGTGTGCTACACTGGGGAACAGAGGCCTGTGTCCCTTAGAAGACAGATCTACAGGCAGGAAAACTGTGGTTAATGGGTCAGGCCTCAAGTCACCACTTGGAAAGAGTTCTTAACCTCAAAGCCTCCCCCTCATTTTGAAGTGATAGTCAAATGACGCCAATTGCAGAATGAAGTTGAGGTATGGTAATTACACTAAGCACTGCACTCAGTGCTAGACACCTTATATACAGTGAATGGACATTGCTTTTGTTGATGTGATTACCTTTTATTGAAGCCTGAAACTTAAGAGAGGCGTGACAGAGCACCCTTTTGCTGCATTCAGTTCTCCTTCATCTCTCCCTAATAGGCTGTGGAATTCGGGTTTTTTTTTTTTTTTGTCTATATGCAAGTGATACTAATTACAGTCATTTATGTGAGCTACTTACCATTTATGTCCAATTACCATGCAGCCTGTAATGATTTTGTGTATCACAAAATGTGCTGGATTAACCTAATTGCTAATTAGTTTAGTGGATTAAAACACTCAACTCAGCCTTCATAGTTTGCAGCTTAGAACTATGGTGAAGAACTCTGTAGGGCTTTGGGGCAGGAATTATACCATTGAAAGATGTCTCTTCTGTTTACAAAGAATCACTTGTTAAGGTGAGCTGTAAGCAGAGGATTATAGGGAGAGGTTAAACTTAAGAGGAAACTAACAGCTGACTCTAACGTTAGAGGCACATAGTTTGCAATGTCTACACTTAATAAACACTCCAGAAATACCGACTGAAGTGTTGAATTCTTCACAGGAAAAGCAGAGGAAGCCACAGTCCAACTAGCAGGATACTTAAAGACGAGAACCACAAAACCAGATTCTTGAGTTTTATTCAGTGCTTCCAAACTGGAAGGACACTGACGATTAAAGTAACTGTGGTATCAGCAATGGCATGCATGCACAACTGAGTGATAAAATACGTCTGCATTGCCCATCCAGTGGAGGATATGATTGACTCAATATTTTAGTAACTCCCATGTTTCCCAAGTGTTCATTAGGCAGGAATCCTGTGCAATTATTAAGTTTGGTTATATGACCTGTACATTTCTAACTAAGAGATCCCTGACTTCCCATTTTCGTGGCATATTATCTTGTGGGCTCAACTGGAAAATCTTTGTCTTACAGTCATAAAATCTCAGTGAATTGGAATCATGAAATTGCTGGTCTCAGCATCTCTTCTCTACAAAATGCTGAGTATTGCTGTTCCTACAGATGGACTCCATCAAATCAGTGACACTTTCCTCCCCTGGCTGCTAAAGGAATAAGCCACCTATCTGAGACCCAGCAAGAAATGTTGTGTCTAGCTCAACAAAATCAGAGTACCTGGACAAGGGTTCCTGGTGTGTATTCGTCTCCATCCAGGATGAGTGTAGAGCCATACCAGAAGGCCAGTGCGTAACAAAAAAAGATAAGACACCACATGTATCCAGTAAAGAACCCTATCACCATCCCTTTTCTAATTCCCCAGCGCTGGGCAAACACCAGATTCTTCTCATACCTGTGAAGAGAAAATGTTTGAGCCATTTTAGCAGGAATGGTTCAAGTTATAAAGATTAAATAGGCCACAGTGCAATGGTTTACTCAGTAATTATAAAGTCACCTCCCTCACAGAACACCTTTAAGGAAAGAAATCTACAGTCACTTTCATGCTATTATTTATGGTTTGTTTGAATCTGGCAATGAAACATGCTAAATGATGTTTCTTAACAAAGTCTCATGTGTTGATTGTAGCTTGGGTAACTCCGGACCCAAGAGAGAACAATTTTTAACATAAACGTCTGGACATGGGGGCTCTAGCACTGTTCACATTTGAATTTTTCCTAGCATCCCATTACATCGTTTCCCATCAGGAAATAATGCAATTGTCCTCAAATAAGCAAACAAGACTCTCTGGGTATTTTCAGATCCCTGGACTTGAAACTAGTGTTCACATCTTCACACCAACACATCTACACCTTTTCACCCATCTTACCCTGTGGTCAGATGCCATGTGTGACAGAACCAGTCAGGTCATAACCATGGGACGTTCTACATCTCAGATTCACAGGAGATTTTGAACATTTCATAGGACACAAACAAGGTCTGCCCTTTGTTACCATTTTAAACACATGTATTGCTTCTTTTATTAACAATAAAAGATATTATCATTCATGGCAGAAAAAATATACCACTGAAATTATTTTATGAGAAATAAGGTGACTTCATTGCTAAGCCAAAAGAAATTAGAGGAAAAAAATGAAAGAAAAGAAGATATTAGAGATTTTAAATCCTGTTCTCTCTTTTTTTTTTTTTTTGCTGGTGAATTTGGTAGCAATTAGAATGACATAATCCTTCTAGTCTACAACACATGAAATAAGACTTTCCATCTCATTCGTGGTTTTTATAAAAATTAGCGGGCAGCACCTAGCAAGAACTCAAAAAATATTTGATAAAACAAAATCATATTTTCAATAACTGCATTGTCACTTGGTTTTTTACTTTCATTGAGAATTAAACTCTAGGGTTGGATGTGGTGGTGCACACCTGTAATCCTAGCTAATAAAAGGCAGATGTAGGAGGATTGGGCAAAAAGGTGAGAATCTATATAAAAAATTACTAAGGCAAAAAGGGCTAGAAATGTGGCTAAGTGTAGAGTGGTTGCCTAACAAGTAAAAGGTACCGAGGTAACACCAAAAACGTGACTTAATCTCTAGAATGACGGTCTATAAAATATCAATGCTAAATTTTGTTTGATTAAATGGAAATCCCATCAGGATTTATTAAGAGCATGTAATGGTCCAGTAGCAGAATAAAAATGTGTTCAATAAAAATGTGTAGAATTGCATTTAGGATCATGCTGTCATTTCTTTTTCATTTGTTTTGCAGTAAATGAACAAATTTTTCCTATGTCTTTTGAATTTTAAATTAAATTTATTTTTAATTTACACATAAAAACAAAAAATTATGCATAAGATGCTTTGGACCATGAACCCATTGTGCAATGTTTAAATCAGGGAAAACATGTTTATCTCCTCAAACATTTGTCATTTCTTCAAGATGAAAGAACTTAACCCTATTGTGAAACAGCTCAGCCCAGAACTTGTTCCTATCTAACTGTAATGTCATATCCTGTGATCAACTGCTCCCCACCCCGGCCTCTGGTAACCGCGGTTCTACTCCCAACTTCGGGGAGATTAACTGTTTTGTCAGTGCTGGGGACTGAGCCTAAGGCAAGTACTCTGCCACTTGAGCCACGCCTCCCAAGCCTTTCATTTGTATTTTTTGAGATGGGGACTCTCTAACTTTATACATTTTGTCCTCAAACTCAAGAACTTCCCGCCTCTACCTCCTAAGTAACTGGGATTATAGGCATGTGCCACCACTCCAACTGAGATTGATTTTTTTAGATTCCACATGTGAAGGAACTCATGTGGCACTTTCTTTCTGTGCCTGGCTTATTTTACTTATCATAATAGTTGTCAGTTCTATACATGTTGTTACAAATAACAGGATTTCATTCTTTTTCGTGATTGAACAGTATTCCATTGTGCATAGGTACTATATATCTACTACATTTTCTTTATCTGTGCATCAGTTGATAGACAGCCAGGTTGTTTCCATTTCTTAGCTATTGTGAATAGTGTGGCAACAGACAAAGGGGTGGGATGTCCCTTCGACATACTGATTTCCTTTCCTTTGGGGATGTACCCAGGAGAGGGATTGTTAGGTTGTATGGCATTTCTAGTTTTAATTTTGGAGGAACTTCCACGCCGCTTCCCATAAAGCCTTTCCTCATGTACACTTCCCCCAAGTGCTCAAGGGTTCCCTTTCCTCCACATCTTTGCTGGCCCTTGTTAACTTTTGTCTTTTTTGCTAACCGCTATTCTTACTAGGGTGAGGGGATGTCTCATGGTTTTGCTTTGCTTTTTCCTGATTAATGATGCTGAACGTTTTTTGATATATTTGTTGGGCAGTCATATGTCTTCTTTGCAAAATGTCTGTGTAGGTCTATTGCCTATTTTTAAGTTGAGTTATTTGGGACATTTTTGCTGTTGAAGTTTTTATGTTCCTAATACATTCTGCATGTCACCCCTTTGTAATATATGCAGTTTGCATAGATTTTATCCCATTCTGTAGTTTGTTTCTTCATTATGTTGATTTCTTCCTTCGTTGTGCAGAAGCTTTTAAGCTTGATGCAATCCCATTTGTCTATTTTTGCTTTTGCTTCCTGTGCTTTTGGGGGGTCTTATCCAAAAAGTACTTTCCCAGTCTAGTGTCCCAACACATTTCTCCTGCATTTTCTCCTAGGACTTTTATAGTTTCAGGCCTTAGTTTTAAACTCTAAACCTATCTTGAGAGGGTTTTTTATACAGTGTGAGCCCTGAGTTCAAACTCCAGTCTCACCCTCCCCCCAAAAAATGTCATCTAAAAGCAGAGACGATTTAGCTTCTTCCTTTCTGATTTAAATGCTTTTTATTTTTTTGTATTTCTAGGGTATCAGTGTAGTGTGTCATGTAGGTTTTCCTATAATGGCAGCAACCAGTGTTAAAGAGAAGCAGGTAAAGCTCTATATGACGTGCACAGCACATACGTCATCAGTGTGAAATAAAAACCTAACCTAGGTTGGCGTTCTAAAAGTCACCAGCTGGAACATCTTCAAACACACATTGCTCAAGGCTTGCACGTCTTGTAGTGATTTGACCAACCTAAATTACTCTGCTTAGCTACCTCCTGAACAAATGCTCCCTTAGGTTGCTACAGACCACAGTGGATCTGCCGCTTTGTACAAAACGAGGAAACAGCAAGGAACCATAAATGACTGATGAAATTCAGGTAAGTGACAGACATTCAATTAACCAACCTTTCCACCTCTTTTTTCTCTCCACCAAAAGCAGCCACTGTTCGAATAGATGAAATGACTTCATCAGCCACAGACCCTGCTTTGGCATAAGCCTTCAACTCAAGGTCTGTGAACTTGGCCACACTCTAAAATTCAAAGGGAGAAAGAAAACGTGAAGACTATGTTATTAGATAAGTCAGTCTGTCCTTCAGTGATTCATTCAACTGAGCAAACATGTAGCATGGTTTAATACAACACTAGATTCTTAGTATAACACAAGAGGGAAAAATCGGTCTAAGTTTGATCTTTGTTAAGCCTCAACCATGGTGTTTGGTTTTTGATATATTAAAATGACTCCATTGAAAATCAGTCTCAAAAACTCTAACAGAAAATAAGCCCCAAATAGGTCATTCTGTAACACTAAAGTGTTTTGGTATAATGAGGTTCCCAAGTCAAACTATGTCATATTTCATTGCTACATTAGCCAGAAACAATTGCAAAATTTATAGACAAACACCAGCAGCAAAGACTGGAGCCCCATGTGGGCAGCATAGTTGGTTGCAGTACAGACCAGAGAGAATCAGAAAATGCAAAGACACAACCTTTCAAGGGACAATTCCAGAGGAGAAAGTTTTAGGTAAACATTATACCACTTTGACAAAACCACAGGCACTTAACTATAATTTTGATTTTTACAAGCAGAAATTAAAAGACTTCTGTGCTAAACAGTAAACAAGTTCTTTTTTCTAAAATTAGACTTGGATTTTAATCTGAGTGGACTTAGTCCAAAATTAACCTTAAAAGAAACCCCTGGTGCAGATTAAGAAAGAAGGAGGAAAAGCAAATATTTTGGAAGATCAATTAATTTAGAAATCTAAAAAAATATGTATGACCCAGATGAAGGGATTTTTATCTTCCAAAGGTTTTTCAAAACTTTTAGCAATGAAACTACTAACAAGTAAAATATTAGATAGAATTCTAAAACATAAAATAAGTAAATAGTTTAGCAAGGTGTTTACTCTTTCATCAGTCCATATTTTATAAAACTTGTGAAGTGAAAAGGTAAGAGTGAAGAAAATAAGGCTATTTTCATCAACATTAAAATTTACATTTTAGGTATTATGGATTGCATTTGCAGTTTTTATCACACTCTATCTAATTTATTCCTGAAACATGCATTTGTAGCACAGTAGTGAGAAAATTACAGGGTTGTAAATGGAATAGGTATTTTATTGTAATAGCACATTAAGTAAGCTCAGGACAGGTCAGTTAATTGACCCAGGAGCTTAAGAAACATGGATTTGAAAATATCTGAAAATTGCTCATGTTTTCCATCCTTGACACAAAGACTGACAGAAACATACACAACCCACATTAACATCTAAAGTGTCAAATGTTGCCTGTCTCTGCCTTTGCATGTGTGTGTGTCCTGCCTGTGACTTGAGCCTAGTAAGTTTTCTTATATTATTTTACAGCAACAAACATGCACAGACATGAATGCCAGAAGAGATGAGTACAGAGTTACAACATTCCAAATCAATGACACATTTATAAGAAGTTAGGGTAATGAGATGACACAAGAGACTATATTCTTAAATCTGTTTAAAATCAGGTTAATTTGGCAGTGTTTTTAGTCTCCAGCATGGTAAAAGGTGGCATGTGATCCACTGGAATGTGTACATCCATTCATCCCAAGTGTGAAGAAAGAGATTAAATGTATTTGAAAACAACAGCAAGCCGAATCAAATGTTTGCAGAGTCCCTCACATCTTTCAGTGGAAGTTGAGGGTTCCCTGGAACATAGCAGGAAAGTGGTTGGAAAGACAATTGTAAAGTTTGGGTGATGTAATGGATTTTTAAAATAATAAAATATCGCTTTAGCAATTGATTCTGTGCTAGACTCTGTGCATAAGTGCATAACGTCAATCATGCACTGAACAATCACAATGATATGGAGAGGTATTATACCTGTTTTGAAAATGAGGAAACTGAGGTTTTGATGGGTTTTCATGAGCCACACAAACTTGCTAGTAGTAGGACCAGGTTGTGTCTTAGTAAACTGTGTTCGTTACTATTGTCACTCTAAACCATTTCCTATATTACCTGGGAGCTGATGAAGAAATGTAACAGGTGGACAATGAGAATATTTTGCTAGAAAATCTCATGATGGAGATTGGTACTTGCTGCTCAATTATATATGGGTGTTGTGCAGCTTTTCACTTAAATTCTACTCTCAGGTATCTAATGTGGCTGAAATAATGTGGTCAGAAATAATTTCTCCATCCTTGGGAGAGTTTTAAACTGGAGTGGCCCCAAATTCCTACTCCTATCCTTTGTCTTGGCTTGACTAGCTGAGGAACAGAGACTGTAACAGTAGTATGGCTCAGACAACTTCTCTGAAGCTGACCAGATGGAATGGAGACAAAGCTGTGATTGCAAACATCCCTTTTATGTGCTTGTTTTTGGGCATACTTGCTGTGCTTTTGAGAGGGAAACATCTGAGCTTGGGAGAACATGGCAAGCCTATTGAAGAGTGGGTGGGGATTTGAAGTCAGGTTCCCTTGGACTTGAATCCTGTGGTGCTAACTGGGCAGTCTCCAGACACATCTTTTACCTTTTTGAGCCTCAAGCTCTTATATTTAAAATGAGAACTTTTATTTATAAGATCATAATAAGGATTAGAAGTAATGATGAATATGAAGCTCCTAAAAGTTCCTGGCAAAAAAGTAAATGCTCAATAAATGTGGCTGATTGCTGTTAGTAAAATAATATTTACCTTCTCAAAGCATCATTCATTCCTAGATGTAATGGCAGTTGATAGCAGGGAATAATCAAACAGAGTAAATCAAAATAGTGATAATTATATTAACTAAACATGCTCAGGAAAAGAAAATCAATCTTCTTATTTTTTGGTTATTTATGAGGACAAATGTCTCCCCAGACAGGGAAGCAAAAAGGCATTCTTACCAGACCAATGATGGCTGCTCCAATGCCAATGAGAGGGCTGGCAGAAATAATAACCAACGTCAGTTTCCAACCCCTGTAAAATCCCAACAGGAACCCAAAGAGGGCTGAGGTGATACGCTGAATAAAAACGGCCAGTTGGTCGGCAATGGCATCATTGATTTTATTAATATTACTAGAAACAAGAGAGACTTTGATTATTGAAACTGAATTTGGTCAATTCAAATATCTTTCTGTTCCCTAAGCACCCCCATCACTGCTCCACTGTCACCCTTGGGCAACAACACAGCTTCTTAAATCTTGAAAACTGTTGCACCTTGAGATGTTATCAAAACTCACCTCATAGCCAGCTAAGTTTGTCTCAATTTAGCTTTCCCAGCTGATGGCCTTCCAATGTTGATAAAGGCTTTGGGAAGCCATCTTGCCTCCTTCTTTCTTAGAGCTAATATTACTGGTCTGTCTGAAGAGGCATCTTTCTTTCTTCAGAACTGCTACAGCCTTTAGCCTCAAGGTTCTATCCTTTTAGCTACACCACCTCATTCATAAACCTTGGACAAGCCTCAGAAAGAAGTCATATCTTCCTCTCTGTGTTTCCATAGCAATGTACTTGGTAGGGGGGTGAAGGGGGAGGAGGAGAGAGAGAGAGAGAGAGAGAGAGAGAAAGAGGAAGAGACTAGTGGCTAAGGGCACAGGCTCTGGAACCAGACTGAATTCGAATATAAACTCTTCTTAGGCAAATTACTCAACCATTCTGTGGTTCAGTGTCCTTATCTATAAAATGGAGATAATAACATATGCAAATCATGTAGAACAGTGCCTGTCAAGTAATAAACACTCAACATGTGTTAGCTCTGATTTATTTGCTTGCTCCTCGTTTTCCTCCTACCAGGCTTTAAGATGGTTCCAAGCAGGATTGTATAAAGTAAGCAATCTAGAATATTGGTTGAAAATAATTACATTAAATTCATACACCTGAGAATATTCCCTTCCTCTCTTGCCCAGAGGGAACAAATACAGCTAGGGACTTGGCAAGAAAGAACCTAAACACATTTCCCAGAGAACAGACCATTGTATTCTCACAAGGTTAAGTACCTGTTCAAGGTCACAGTGAATAAGGGGCAGAGTGAATGCTGGAATCTCTGGGCCTCACCTTCCATTCTGCTTTACCTTCGTTATACACTGTCTTTCATAGGACCCCAGAGTTCAATTAAATAGAGTTCAACTGGTTCTAATTAATCAAGGCTCATTCAGAATTTCTGGGGTACCATTAATGATCCAAATGGTATTTGATTGTAAACTGGATTTCTCAAACTAGTCTTCAAATTTTTTTTGTTTCCGTGTGCAGACACTGACTCCACAGATACAGCAGGACATCTAATTGCATTGTGACATCCCTCTCTCCATCTCTTTCTGAGGAAAATAACTCTATTTCTTTAAACTATCTTCTATAATACTTTATTTATAATATTTTAATCAAGAGTCTATAAACCCCATTGTAGTATCTTGGCTTTTAATTTTTATTTATAGGGCATTGCCCAGTAACAATGCCAGGTTACCTATGAAAGCCCAACTTCAGACAAAACATGTCAAATCTAACTGAAAATGTTTTTAATTTGTTATTTAATTTAGAAACAAATTTTATTACGTAAAAAAGACACTAAAACATTGCTGTATCAGCTACTCACTCAGAGAATTTTGTATTCAGCTCTCCCACAGAATTACAGTCAAACCATCCAATTTCCATTCTCATTATTCTCCTAAAGTAAATTTTTCTCATTTTCTCAACTTGCCGAGCTCCAGTAATTATCCAAACGCATATCTGGAAATGGATAGAGGAGTGGTTAGCATTGCAGTGTTAAAACGGTTTGTTGATTCCTTTTATTCTTGGATGATAATACTTTCCATGTAATTGTTGAAATAAGGAGGGGAAAAAGTCACAAAACACATGTTCTTGGGAACCAAGGTATGAACTCTGGTTCTTGCTGCTAACAGTGGAGTGAGCTGGACAACTTTGGGCAGTGGGTAGAGGTCTGCTTTGAATGCAGTTCTGACAACATAAGCCCATGGCTTTCAGAACATACTGAGTTTCAGTTTCTCCAGGAGTAAAATACTGAACTAAGGCATCACTGGTCTACAATCACTGTTTGTATACACCACTTCTGAGAGAAGTTTCCTCCCCAGGAACCTACTGTAAGTAGTCGTATGTAGTTTTCAGGCAATGGTTTTCAGGAAATGGGAGACAAAAATTATGACACAAGCAGGGAATCTAATCTGCTGATAGATTTCCTCTAATTAACAACAGTAATTTTATCATGAAAACTCCTGATGTCAGCACGAAAGGGTTCATTCTTTTTTACAAGTACTACTACCTGGAATAAATAGGGGAGGGGCAGCTCATTATTTTTTCTATAGAAGGTAGCAAAATGAAATGTTTTTCTTCTTCAGTAAGGGTTAGGTAAACCTAAGTTCTCCCATTACTTACATCACGAACATGTGTATTCAGATTTACAAAACTGGGCTGGAATACTGTGAGACCCCAGCAATGAACAAAGAAAGGGAAAGAGCATTTTGCTTTCCTTTCCTTCCTCGTGCTTTCTCCAGCCTATTCGGCCTCCCCTTAAAAACACACCACGGCTACCCATTTCTGGGCTCAGAAAAGAGAATAAAGCAGAGAAGGCCAGGACATTGCATCTACAAGTCTCTCCCCCAACTCCCCGGACAACTTCTTGTATCCTCTTTGGTTGTCTGAAGGAAGACTCCTCCCCATTCTCTCAAGTACTCTGGATGCAGAGCTGTGGTCCTTAGGGCTTCTGAATACCTTAAAGGCTAAAGACAACACTTTGCACTTCGTTGTAATGTCTCTGGGCCCAGAAATTGATCTACAAACAAAACGGAGGAGCTACTAACTTGAATATAGGCTGTAATAAGTACTGCAACACCAATTCCAGCATAGACACTGGCAAACTTGATCATCTCATTTTCAACGTCCACCAGCCTTCAAAAGAGGGAGAAAATGTTAAAACTTATAAGCAGGATCAAGCTACTAAGGATTACATTTGTAGACACAGCAGACTTAAAATATGCTGTTATAAATTTCTATTAAATATGAGTAAGGTGTTATATTTATGCATAATTACAAACAATCCAACCAAATCCCTAAATAGTTCTCATGATACCAGTCACAGCAAGTATGTTCATCCCCTTTATTTCTATAGGCAGAGACGCTAGGATTGTGAAATAATTAATCAGAAGTTGCTAGAGGAGAGGAGACCATAAATAGCTGCCCAGTGCTCAGTTCATCTTGGCACATTTTGCTTGTGCACATGCAGAGACAGAGTAATCATAGCTGAAGAAAGGTTTTAGAAGTCAGGCAGACTGTCTGAAAAGACACAGAAAGAAGAGTGCTGTAACTCAGGCTTCCTGTTGCCTCTTCTAGGAGTCTAAACTGGCTTTTCAACTTCTCCACCCTAGAGTGGCACCAGAAAATGTGTGCCATCTTCCCATGGGGAGAAAAGCACTGCATTCACCCTTTGTCTTACTGCTGGCTTGCTGGCTATTGCCTGTAAAGCTTCCCTCACCAGGACAATCTCAAAAGTTGAACCCACATTTGCAGGGAATTACAAGAAAGTACTTTGGGGTTTTTCCCAGCAGAGTTTGGGATTGCCAGGGCTGGGAAGGCAGGAGAAAATATTCTGCAATTGCTTTCAGGAAATAAGGAATTTTATTAATTAGAAAACTAACATATTGGTTGATACCCATGCTGATAAAAAGTCTATCTCTTTAGAAAATCAGAAGCAGCATCTTTAGTAAGGATGCCCTTACTCTGTGTCACTTCTGCTCCCTGTCAGGTCTTCTTTTTATGACTTAAATTATACTCTCCCTCTACCAAACTGAGACCAAGCACTGCAATATAATTCATTTACTATAGAACAAGTTATTATTCCACAAGATTTTTTGCCACCTGGAACTATTCATTTCTTTATTAGAAAAACTTATATTAAATATATTTGTGTTTTCTTGCTAGTAGATTATAAGCTAAATGAGAAAGGGGCTAGCTAGCTTTATTCTGCTTGGTCACACTGCCCAAATTCTGGAACAAAACCTGTACCATGTAGGTCATAAATAGATGTTTCTTGATTTTGCTTTAGCTTTCAAAATTCTAATTAAGAAGAAGAAAAACTGCCATAGCCAATTCTTCTGACAACCTCCAAACCAGGTCAAATACTCACCACTTCCAGTCTTTCACGATAACTAATGGTAACCTGAAGAATGAACAAGACCTAAAGAAATCTCACACACACACACACACACACACACACACACACACCAGACAGAAGTATTCATAACCAGAGCTCTTATAAAAGCTTAGCATCTCTGTGTAATGTGTGTAGTATAGTATTATGAGGAAACCCTTCTAATGTGGATATAAGCCAGTGCTCAGGTAATGAAATTAAATTTGGGTATCAAAAGTTTTATTTAAGAGTTCCTGTGGTGCACTGATTGTTCATAAGCAGAAGTGATGGAGAACCTGTCATGAAAAATGCAGTAGCCAGTCGCAAACCTATATGGATTGAGAGTATGTGGTAGCCATCCAGCTCTGGGATTTCTTGGAGCAAAGTCCAGGAGAGTTCTAGCACTGGGGATGGTTCAGATAAGGAGATGAGTGGTTTATGACTCTTTTCACTCGTGAGGTGACCCTGAAGTGAATGGTTAGCTTGCTTCTACTTTATGAGAAGAAGAGGTTATTGGGGCCTACAGATGACTTGAGACTATTTCTGGATCACAGGAAGGCAAACAGCAGGCCTGGCTTGGCTACTTGTCTGCACAGCCAGCTCTTCAATATCCACATGGTGGAAAGTTCAGTGATCATCAAACTCCAGAAAGGATTCTATAAAGTATACAACTGAATCATAGATTGGCACCTTTAAAAAAACTGACATGAAGCTACTTTAATGAATTAAAATTCCTCTGGCTCATTTGTTAAAGAGATGAGAGTGATGACAATTAGAGAGGAAAGACAAGAAATGTTTTATAAAATATGAAGATATAAGGAGTCTTATCTTGCTTTTTATAGAACAGAAGCATCATAAAATTGTGTCATTCAATTTATACGTCAAGTTTCATATTTACTGAAGCCATAGATTTTTCTTTTTAAATACATCGGAAGTCTTTAGTGCACTGCCAAATAAGGAATTTTCCTTTCAGTTGGTTTCCTATATTACAAAAACACTATGATATTAGAGTGATTATAAGTGACAACTCCAGACTGTCAGAAGCTGACAGAAATGTGTCCAAGTCCTAGTCCTACTTACCACGGTGACTCTGAATTCCTTAATTATAGGACATCTGCCTACAGACAAATGACATATCTTTGGTTGCTTTATAGAACAACCATGTGGTATGGTAGCATGCTGAAGACTGGCCAGATTTTCATTTCAGAGAATCCATGACCATTCTCCACCCCCATCCTCTCCCCCAGGAAACTGTTTTGTTTTTGCTTTTAATGAAACTTTTTATTTTGGTAAGTATAAATGCACATGAAGTTGTAAAAAGTAATACAGCAATATAGAATACGATTTTTATCCAGTTCCCACCACCAATGGTTAACATCTTGCAAAACTATAGGGCAATGTTACAACCAGAATGTGTTGCATTGACATAATCAAGACCAGGACATTCTCGTCACCACAGGCTCCCTGCATTTCCCTTTTATACCTACATGTACTTCTATCCAGTTCCCATTCCCTCCTCAGCCCTTGCCAATAGTTTTGTTCTCCACTGCTATAATTTTATCATTTCAAGAATATTATATAAATGGAAAAGTTTAAGTATACAGCCTTTGAGATGGGCTTTTGTTCACTCAGCCTAATTCTTTGATATTCATTAACTGTTGATGTCTTTCATCATCAATAGTTTGTTCCTTTTTATCGTTAAATAGGATTCCATAGTACGGATAAATATATCACAGTTTGTTTAACCCACTCACATTAAAGGATACTTGGTTGTTTCCAGTTTTTGCCTATTAAAAATAAAGATACTGTAAATATTTGTGTACAGGTTTTTAATGGGAACACAGTTTTCATTCTCTGAGATGAATCCCCAAGAGTAGAATTGCTAGGTCATATGGTAGCTGCATGTTTAATTTTTTTAAATTGCCAAGCTGTTTCTCAGAGTAACTGTAACACATTTTGTTCCCAGCAGCAACATATGGTCATCATCCCCATCATTCTCATTTAGAGTTTTCACTATTTTTAAAAGATTTTAAATTTTAAATTTTAAATTTAAACTCTGATAGTTATATAGTGATCTCATTTTTATTTTAATTTATATTTCCCTAGTCACTACTTTTATGGAACATTTTTCATTTGCTTATTTGCCATCTTTATATCCTTCATAAAATGTTTATCCAGGTCTTTTTCCCATTATTTAATTAGAATATAGATTTTTTTAACATTGAGTTTTGAGAATTCTTTATATATTCTACATCCTACTCCAAGGTTGGCAAATATATTCTCGCAGTCAGTAACTTGTCTTTTCACCTCAATGGGTCTTTTGTGGCAGGATTTTGATTTCTGATGTAAGTCTTTAATGGAAAGTTAAAAAACAATATTTTATGGCTTTAAGTTTCAAGTCTAAGAGCTTAGTCAACCCACAGAACATGAAAATGATCTCCTGCATATTTTTCTAAAAATTTCTGGCTAAGAGCAATTAGGCAAGAAGAAGGAGTAAAAGGAATACAAATAGGTAAAGAAACTGTCAAAATATCCCTACTTGCAGACGACATGATCCTATACCTTAAAGACCCAAAAAAACTCTACTCAGAAGCTCCTAGACACCATCAATAGCTACAGCAAGGTAGCAGGATATAAAATCAACATAGAAAAATCATTAGCATTTATATACACTAATAATGAACAAACTGAAAAAGAATATATGAAAAAAATTCCATTTACAATAGCCTCAAAAAAAAATCAAATACCTAGGTGTAAACCTAACAAAGGATGTGAACAACCTCTACAAGGAAAACTATATACTTCTGAAGAAAGAGATTGAGGAAGACTATAGAAAGTGGAGAGATCTCCCATGCTCATGGATTGGTAGAATCAACATAGTAAAAATGTCGATACTCCCAAAGTAATCTACATGTTTAATGCAATTCCCATCAAAATTCCAATGACATTCATTAAAGAGATCGAAAAATCTACCGTGAAATTTATATGGAAACACAGGAAGCCACGAATAGCCAAGGCAATACTCAGTCAAAAGAACAATGCAGGAGGTATCAAAATACCTGACTTCAAACTATATTACAAAGCAATAACAATAAAAACAGCATGGTACTGGCACAAAAACAGACATGAAGAACCAGTGGAACAGAATAGAGGACCCAGATATGAAGACACACAACTATAACCAACTTGTCTTTGACAAAGGTGCTAAAAATATATGATGGAGAAAAGACAGCCTCTTCAACAAAAACTGCTGGAAAACTGGTTAGCAGTCTGCAAAAAAATGAAACTAGATCCATGTATATCACCCTATACCAAGATTAACTCAAAATGGATCAAGGATCTTAATATCAGACCCCAAACTCTAAAGTTGGTACAGGAAAGAGTAGGAAATACTCTGGAGTTAGTAGGTATAGGTAAGAACTTTCTGAACGAAACACCAGCAGCACAGCAACTAAGAGATAGCATAGATAAATGGGACCTCATAAAACTAAAAAGCTTCTGTCCATCAAAAGAAATGGTCTCTAAACTGAAGAGAACACCCACAGAGTGGGAGAAAATATTTGCCAACTATACATCAGACAAAGGACTGATAACCAGAATACATAGGGAACTTAAAAATCTAAATTCTCCCAAAACTAATGAACCAATAAAGAAATGGGCACATGAACTAAACAGAACTTTCTCAAAAGAAGAAATTCAAATGGCCAAAAAACACATGAAAAAATGCTCACCATCTCTAGCCATGAAGGAAATGCAAATTAAA